TCTGGGACTCCTTTTTAACATCAGCCACAACTTGTTATGAACCACACAGTCAAATGCTTTTGCATAATAAAGCAATAAAGCACAAATAGACATTCTTCTGATATTCCTTACTTTAAGTCAAAATATGTCTGACATCAATAGTGGTATCCCTGGTGGCACAGCCTCTTCTAAATCCTGCTTGAACTTCTCCAAGTTCCCTATCTATGTGCTGTTCCAGCTGTTTTTGAATGATTTTCAGTATTTTGCTTGCATGTGTTATTAATGATTTTGTTCGATCGTTTCCGTATTCAGTTCAATCACCTTTCTTGGGAATGGGAACAAATATGGACCTCTTCTAATAGCCATGCACCAGTGCTTCTGATCTTAGCCTAGGAGAGGCTGCGATTCATGTGGGACATAGTTCTGTGGGCTTATTTTTACCTTGAGTCATTGGCCTCATGCACTTACTTTCTGTCCAGCTGGGAAGAGCTCAGTAGTATGATAGATGACCACTTTGAAACTTTTAAGACGCTTGACAGAACTCCTCAACCTACGAAGTAGAGCATTATCTTTAGGAACCAAATCTTGCCAATTGACCTAGTTGACCTGTGAGATTGTGGAGCTCGGCCCTCCAGAAGAGTCACCTCAAGGCACGTGGGATGTCTTGGAAACAGACATAATTATGTGATTCAGAATTGTTTTTTCTTTTTTTAAAGGACACCGCAGGAAATAGTTTCAGTGGTTTGTCCAGGCCCTGTCTCTAGAAAATTCAGTGAGAATATAAATACCTCTGCACGTCCTTCCTTGGTCAGTTGATCAGAAGGTTCAGCCGGGTGTTTCATTCTGGTCTCGTGGTGGGGGAGGCCATTGTCCATGGAAGCTGGGAGCCACACAGTCCGTTTCTTCCTGTACCTTCTGTTTCTTCTGTTGCTCTAGGGAAATCTGATTTTGGAGTAAGGCTTTGGCATTAGAGAGTTTCATGACCCTGCAGGAGAAGTACGGCAGATGTTTCAAGATTTTGCCTGGGGTGGTCTGAAACTGGCCCTGAAACCGTAGGTGCCACCCTGTTGGCCTTCTTCTAGGCTGTGCAAAGGGTCATGGGATCTAACAATTGTGAGGCATTTAAAATACAGAGTCACTTGCTGCAGGGATGCCTCTGTGGTGGTTTTGGGCCTTATTTGACAGAGATGGAGAGCGATAGTGGCCCAGTGAGCAAGGAGCTGTGTTTCCAATCCACAGTTTCGAATCCACCTGAGCAGGATGGGAAGTCCCTGCCCATGCAGTTTACATCCTCTGAAAAATCACTGGAGAGTGTGCTGAATCGGTTTTAGTTCAGCGGCACATGACAACACATAATGACGACATAGCAGAGTTAAGATCTATTTACCGAGCTATAGAGTTCTGGTAGGACATGGATGGACTTTAGAGTCCAGCTTGATTTGTAGTCACTGTTCCCTTCTCCCTCTCACCTCACATGCATTCCAGAGTGGTCCTTGGCCAACTTACTTAAAACACATCAGTGTTCTCATTTCTCACAAGGGAATAATGCCTAATAAGAGTTGTTATAAGACATAGTTAAAGTAATGCATAAACTAATAGTAGGTTATTTATCCACCCCCCACCTCCCTTGCCTTGCCTGATGGTCTCATGTACAATTTGCCAGAGAGCAGGTAGGAGTTTCACCCCTACTCATCTTCACCCTTCTCAGGTGAAGATGGTAATGACGGGCAAAGTCCAGTGGGGATTAATTTTATGAAACATTGCATGAGAATGATTGTATGAAACCATGTAAATGAAAAAGTGTGAAAGACAAGGTATATGAACGTTGTAAGTAAACGAAATAAAAAAATGGAATTGGAGTGCTTTAATGCCAAAAACAAAATAGAAAAAGCAGGGGGTTGGAATCCACCAGTGACTCTACAGATTGTTGGTAATCCTCTGTGTGATCTGCAGCCTTTGAAAACACTGAAGGGTCAGCCAGGAGTTGGTTCTGAATCTACCACAGTGAGACTTCGAGAGAGGGTACCAAGGTCAAGCGTCTCATTTCCCCTAAGCTTGATTTTTACTCCTGGCTTCATCCTAACAGAAAATCCTCGGCTCACTGATGTGATGACAAGGACCTTGAGGGTTTGTTTGTCTATATCGGTCACAGTTTCCAATGTGTTGTAGTCCCTGGCCTGGAAATATGCAACCCAGAGTTAAAAACCCACCTCCATAAAGCCTGTTGTAACTATTTATGATGTGCACCCAAACAGTATCACTACTCTGGCAGCCTAGAGGCAGGAAGCTGCGCTGCAAACCCGAAGGCACGAAGTTTGAAGCCACCATCTTACTCTGCGGGAGACGGGTGGGCAGTCTCCTCCCATGTGATTAACTCACTCTGAAAACCCACCGGAGGGTTAGCGATGGGTTGGTTCTGACTCTATGGTACACAGCAACAACAACAGTACTATTACAACAAAGCTGTCTGAGTATATCTAGAAGTATCTGTTTTTACTAGGACACACTGGATACTATAAGACAAACATTGATTTGATGTTAGCTATGCCCCTTACTGTATTATCCTGGCTTAATGTACAATTTGCTGACGGATTTGGGAACTAATTCATCTGAAGACTCCCCATATTATCCCACAGACTTATTTATGAATTGATAAGACCCCATTTCCACTTGAGATGATAAGGTGCCTGTAATCATGAAACCCCTTTTCACCTTCGTAGTGGGGATTTCCATTTCCTGACTGCTAAACTTGAGGGACTTTTCATTAAAGTAATGCTGTCCTCCGTTCCCTGCTGCCCCTTGCCATCTCCTTTCCTTGCCTCCCTGAGTGACTACAATTTTCATTCACAGGTTGAGGCATCTGTCTCCTCTTGTAGTGTCTATTTCTCACTTTAAGTGTAGGTGCATGTTGCTTAACATCCACCAGGGCTGTGTCAGAAGCGTATATATCTGTCTTCATATGTACCTGTGGTCCTGTGAGGTTATAATAGAGTTCAGAAATCTGAATTGGAGAAGCAGACCTAGTGGATGTGCTATCCTAAGGGTGGATTCCAGTCCTTCCCTAGCTCCCTGGCTTCCATGTCCTCAGCCCTGGAGTTGCAGGGGAAGGGGGTCCTGTCACCCAGCTGGTCCCACTACAGCTGCTTTTAGGGCAGGGACCAAGAGGATGCCACAGGTGGGTGCTCTGTGGACACTGCTGTCCCGCTAAGGCTCCTCCCAAGGTGGGCTGGGAGGAGGTGGGAATGGAGAACAGGCATTCTGGGTTCAACCTTTGGAGGGGAAGGGAGGATGGTCGAGTCAGCGAGCAAGGTGGGGAGAGAGCTGTGAGGGCAGGGCCCACAAATCTTCTGGGGGGATGGTGACCAGGCATGGCCGGCAACACCAAAACCCAGACTTCAGGTCCCAGGCCAACCTGTGGCAGCCCTGGTGCCTGTTAACTATAATGTTTGTTCAATGTCCCAGTCACGTTGCATAGGATGTGTCCCGGGTGTTAAGCCTTGCATACCTAGGCCTTTATCTCTGTGAGCACACCCTGCACCCTAGAGTCAAGGTGCTCATGTTCCCACTGTGAGGCCAGAGAGTACTGCCTCTGTCTTTCAGGACAGAGCTGCATCATTCTTCCAACTCCTCTTTCTGTTTGGTGACTGTAAGTACATGCCCGTTTATTCTCATTGCCTCAGACTTCTAGACAACCAGAAGACTGCTGGAAAGGAGATTTGCAGCCACTCATATGGACTGTTTTTTGGGTGTCAAGTTTATCTGTGATTAAGCCCCACGCGTAAGAGTGTCGGCAAAGTGAGAGCCATCATTGTTACTTGTAAAAGGCGAGCAGTAAGCAACAATCGATTTCCAAACCAGAGTGCTTGCCCTTCCCCAGAGTCCCTGTGACCATTCTCCTGTTGCTGGATGGTGCTCCCCGTTCAGATACTTGGATCTGGTGCTGTGTTCCCATCACCTCTGCTTCCAGCCACCACCATGTTTGGGAACCTGTGTAGCTTCTGAGGCTTCTGCTCTGCCGCAGGACACACCCCTATGATATGTTGTGGTTGGCAGACGCCCCACCCAGGCTGTCTGCGTCCCTGTCACTTGGCCCTTCCAGAGCTGCTGCTGCTGGCCCCTACTCCACAGCCTGAGTTTGTGGGACTCTGGTCACCACGCCACCCCTGCAGCTGCCTGCTGGGGGGACGTCCAGGTCCTGCAGACACACTCGGGCCCCTGTTGATGTGTGCAGGTCCTTGGGCTCCCAGGCACCCTGCTCTGCCCAGCTGCAGGAAGCGTCCTGCACAGGATTTTCTGGGGCCACCCAGCATGTCAGCCCTCTGTGGACCAGACTCCTCCCTGCGATGCTCAACCTGGGCTTCTGTCTGTGGTGTTCACTCTTCTGAGTCAAGAGCCTGCCTCTGACTCTTCTTGTTGTAGTGAGGACCCCACACCCCACCCCTTCAGCCCCTTTGGGAATGGCCCTTTTAAGCCTTGTTGAATGGCAGAACTGACTACTCTCTATGGCAGGCCGTATTTGCATAGAGAACTACTCAATCCCTGCAAGGATTTTACAGACCTAATTTGCATAATCCCTGCCCTTCTAAGACTTCCACAAAAACGTTATATGGCTTAAAGGCCATACGAAAGCAGTTCTCTTTGGAGGTAATCCACCTACCTGATTTCTCCCTTCTGACGGTGATTTGAGATGAAGGGGCAGGTATGAGTGGAGGTCAACAGCAATCCTTATGTGTTACTTGAATCAAGTTCTTAACTGCATATTCACATTAGAATTGTTAAATATATTGGGTCTGGGGCTCCCTGCACGGCAGGGAGCCTTTGTATTGGGGTTTTTGTGTACATATGTGTAAAATAAGTGTAGTTTTATGTTTCTTGGATGAGTCTGACACCTATAAAGAATGACTTAAAAAAAGAATCACTAATGATTAATTGAACCAGGTAGCATTTTTGTCTGTTTATTGTGCCTTGGCTATTTAGCAGATTCTTAAATATTTTTTCCAACCATTTTTTTAAACATTTAGTCATTCGGCATCTGAAGAAGCATCGGGTTCAGATTCAGGCAGCCAGTCGGAAAGTGAGCAGGGCAGTGACCCGGGAAGTGGACATGGCAGTGAGTCAAATAGCAGCTCCGAATCTTCAGAGAGTCAGTCGGAGTCTGAGAGTGAATCTGCAGGGTCCAAGTCCCAGCCAGTCCTTCCAGAAGCCAAGGAGAAACCAGCATCGAAGAAGGAGCGGATAGCGGATGTGAAGAAGGTATCGGCTTTCCTGTATTGCAAAGAATGTACCTGCTGGGACCAGCTGCCAGAGCTGTGTTGCCCCATGGTCAGCTCACATACAGGCAGTGCTTAGATAGGCCTGACGTCTATCTGTGCAACTTGAAGTTAGGAACCAGGCCCCACAAATCTTCTATGTAGTAAAAATTCTAGGTACATCCAAAATTACGAATGGGTGCTGCCTATAATAAGTGGTTCATGGTATCGTACACCAAAACATTATTACTGTGTTATGTTATAGCTGTTGTAGTGTATCTGGAAGTGTCAGGTGATTTTGATAAATACAAAGGTATACTATACTACATCATCAAACAAACATTTGATTAACTGATATTAGATTTAAACTGTATCTACATGGGAATGAGTGTATGAAACTCAATATGAATGAAGAGTAGTATGAAACACAGTGTATATGAACTTATTGAGCAAACCAATATAAAATACAATAAAAATTTGTGCTCACACGCAGAGAACCCTTTCTCTCAGTGTTCCAGTTTATGTACAAATTCAACTTTTAGACAGACTTGGGAACACAATGTGTTTGTAATCTGAGGATTGCCTATAGTGAAAATTCTTAATGCTTTTTCTGTTAATATTCTGCTTATTTCTTTATTGTTCAGCTAATTGATACAGTTAAGTCAGGGTTGTAAGGAAAATACTCAATTACACGAATAATCAAATTGTAGTGTCACAAAGACAAAATTTTATGCTTTTGGTTTTTAAACTTTGGAAAAGGTGATTTAAGTTACTTTTTTATATTATACAAAATAATACCAGAAAAGCATTGACATTTATTAGCAAATGTCTTTTTTAATTGACTTCTAGAATACAATTGTGGAGCTTATTGAAAGATAACAATGATGCAAGGAAAAAGATAGCTTTTGTTTTCAGAATAATGGAAGGAAAAAATTGTTTTTAGAAAAAAACTGAAGGTAACACTAGTGGCAAAATACTGTGGTGCAATCCCCTGAGCATGTGGTTCAAGGCCACCAGCTGCTCTGTGGGAGAAGAATGGATATTAAGGTATTGTTTTGTAGGCCTACCAGTGGAAGAAGAAAAGAGTATTAGTGTCAACTTTTGTGAAATTAGAGACATTTATTCCATGTTAGGAGCCCTGGTAGCATAGTGGGTAAGGCATGGGACTACTCCCTGAAGGTTGACTGACAGTTTGAATCCACCGGTTACCACAGGAAGAAAGATCAACTGCCTCCTCCCATAAAGAGGAACCCAGTGGCGGCTCCTGAGAGCTGACTTGGTTTTAATACACTTAATGGAAGTGGTTTAGTTTTTTTCCTTCTTTTACAGATGAGGAAACCAAGGGCAATCAATTGAGGAACTTGAGAGGCTAGGATGCATGGGTTTGGTAGTGGGAAAAGTGCTTGAAATGCTGTAAGATAGGAAAGAGTATGTATCATCACTATTATTTATTTATAATAAAAAACTGAAAATAGGCTAGTTAGTTAGAAGCTGCTGGATTGTAATATTATATCAAAATATAATCAATTTACTAGTAAGTATACATATGTTTGTGAACATTTGCTGAGCTGTTACTGACTTTCTTGGATTACAGTGTTAAACCGATGGCCTTTAAATATTTTAAAAGATAATGAGTAACTAAGAGAGAAGGAAAAGAAATACTAAGATGAAACTATTACTAAGGTAAGAATTTTGAGGTAATAGTACAGCTCTAGGCCAATGAAATAAAATACACTTTTATGTTTAAAATGATTTGTTCCCAAAAGTGAATAACAGTAGCTATACTTGTGTTGACGAGCTCTGTTGGCATGTAGTTATGTGGTCAGCTGTTAACTGAGAGGTTTACTGAACCCACAGTCACTCTGGGGAGAGCGATGTGGGAATTTCCAGCCGTTGCTATTGGATGTTTTCCTTTGTACTGTAGGGTTGCTGCCATTGGTCAGAATTCACTTACATCAGTGGGTTTGGGTTTCAGTTGGATTGACCTCCTGGTTCTGAGGAAACGTGATTGGTTTGTGCTTTTGGTGATCTGTTTTCTAAGATGAGAATGTCTGAAGGTGATTCTTTATTTTCTGTTCCCTTTCTTTTCTTATAGTACTTTTTCCTAAAAGTTGAATTTAGATTTGGTTCTCAAGGAGAGGCTTCTGGTGGCCTACTGAGTAAGGAGTTGTGTCAACTCAAAGGCAGATAGTTCAAATCCTCCAGCTGCTTCTCGGGAGGAATATGGACACTCTCCTTTTTGTGATTTACAGCTTCTGAAAAGCCCGCTGGAGGATCACCTGTGAGTCACTTCTGACTCTGTGTCAGTGAGTGTGATTCAGTCCCCAGGGACAAATGTTGAACACAGTGTTTATGGCTCTATTAACATTTTAGGATGTACTGTAGTAAAGTCTCTGTAGTTGAGCCATACTACCTAGCTAGTATTTAAAGATGATAAAATTAATTGGTATGATGATGATGTTGTTGTTGTTGTATACCATAGAATTAGAACTGACCCATAGTGGGTTTTCTGAGGCGGTTAATGTACTGGAGGAGATTGCCCATCCTTCTTCTGCAGAGCAGCTGGTGGCCTTGTACTGCCTCGAACTGCGTGCCTTTGGGATTGCAGTACAGCTTTTTGTCACTACGCTATCAGAACTGTAATTGATATAGTGAAAAATAATTTATTCATCTGCCCTTAATTTGTCTGCATTTCATTTATAAAGCTACCTGGAAGGTTTTGGCAAAAAATAAGGCCCCAAGAATTGATGCGATACCAATTGACATGCTTCAACTAACACATGAAACCCTGGATGCGCTCACCAGTCTATCCCAGGAAATATGGAGGACAGCTGTCTGGCTGACTGACAAAAAGATCCCTGTGTTCCCATTCCCAAGAAAAGTGATCCAATAGAATGTGGAAGCTACTGAACAATATCATTAATATCACATGCAAGAAAAATACTGCTCAGTATCATTAAAAAAATGGCTAGAACAGTATATAGATAGGGAATACCAGAAATTCAAGCAGGATTTAGAAGAGGCTGTGGCCCCAGAGATATCCTGCTGATAGCAGATGGATCCCGGCTGAAAGTAAAGAATATCAGAAGAGTGTCTATTTATGCTTTATTGATTATGCAAAGGCATTTGACTTTGTAGATTTTAACAAGTTACACCTAACATTGAGAAAAATGGGAATCCTAGAACACTTAATTGTGCTCGTACAAAACCTATATCCAGACCAAGAAGCTGTTGTGTGAACAGAGCAAGGGAACACTACCTAGTTTAAAATTAAGAAAGGAGGAGTGTATTAAGGTTGTATCATGTCTCCGTACTGATTTAAGTCTGTATGCTGAACAAATTATTTGAGAAGCTGGATGCTGTGAAGAAGAATGTGGCATCAGGATCAAAGGAAGACTCATCAATAACCTGTGTTATGCAGATGAAACAGTCTTGCTTGCTGAAACTGAGGAGGACTTGAAGTGCTTGCTGCAGAAAATCAAAGAATATAGCCTTTACTATGGATTGATTCTCAATGTCATGAAAACAAAAATTCTTACCACTGGTTAAATAGGCAACATAATTATAGATGATGCAAAGATTGAAGTTGCCAGTGGATCCACAATCAACACCCTTGGTAACAGCAGTCAGTAAGTCAGGAGAGACTTACTGTGTTGGGAAACTCTGCAGTCAGGGACCTCTCCATATTAGTGAGCAGCAGTGATGCCAGTTTGAGGACTCAGGGGTGTCTGATTCAGACCATGGCCTTTCCAATCACTTACTGTGCATCTGAGAGCTGGGCAATGAATAGGTATGACAGAAGAACAACTGATGCCTTTGATCTGTGGAGTTGAAGAAGAGTACTGAATATCCCATGGATGGCCAAGAGAATGAAAAGAAAGGTCCTGGAGAAAAGGCAACCAGAGTGCTCTTTGGAGGCAGAGCTGATAAAGCTTTATCTCACACACTTCAGGCATATTGCTGGAGAGGCTAATCCTTGGAGAGGGACGGCATGCTTGAGAAGGTGGAGGGTTGGTGAAAAAGAAGAAGACCCTTAATCAGTTGGGTAGACTCAGTGACTCCTGCAGTGGGCTCGAGTGTGTCTGGTGGATGGTTCAGAATAGGACAGGATTTGGATCTCTTGTTCATAGGGTTGCTATGGGTTGTACTCAACTTGATGGCACCTAACCACGACATCCAACCCTTAAGGATGCACATGGGGATTGGTGGATAGGGCTTTTGTTTTTTCCATTTGCTAGTTTTATTCTGATATTCTCTTTTTGTTGCTTCTTCCCTTGACACTTTGTACCACTTGGTTATTCTTAGCCTTTTGTTTGAACCTATTGCTCTAACTCCGAGCTCATTTGGCCATCACGCTCTCCCCTGAGGACGTGGGCTCACATGATTCCATTAGATTCTTGCTCTGTGATGCCTCTTCTTGTGCCATCCTGTTGGCTGGTTTGGTGTGGTTTTGTTTTTTTTTTTATCCTTATTTTCATTTCAACGTTGGTATTTTTTTACTTAAAGACATTCCATTTAAAAATTATTTATTTATGTTTATTTGAGAGATTGACAAATCATACTGATTTTCCATACAATCATTCATAGATATCATGTTATAACATTAATTGCTAGTGATTAATGTTATGAAAAAACTAGATGTGCTAGAGTAAGGACGGTTGTCATTCTGAGTACTTTTAGATAAACCTTAGGAATACGTAATCTTTGTGTATCTGGCATGTTAAGTGACTGGAGGAATGAAAGAAATACATGAATATCCCGATTCTTATTTAATGAAACATAATGGGGCCTGCAGCTTGTTCTTTGAGTTCCTCTAGTGAGTCAGTTTGCTTTCAAAATGGAAATGGCATTAGGCAGTTTAAAATGTAAGATTCATTTGGTGTCTTTCTTGCTGTATTATAATTTAACTATAATATTTTAATGATGTTCCACAGTGCAGCATATAATTTAATAACCACGTAGTAATGAGGAGGAACTTTTACACTTGTTATAGGATAATAATAATATGCCTTATTCTTTTTAAAGATAGTGCTTGTTTCATAAACAAAATGTAACACAATATTTTCCACTATTTTATTACTTGAGTTCAGTTGGTAGAAATATTGTATGGCAAATGTAGCAATATGAATGATGAAAATAGTAAATGGGGGATCAACAAAAGGATTCACTCATGGAATATTCATTTTCCAGATGTGGGAAGAGTATCCTGATGTTTATGGTGTTAGGCGGTCAAACCGAAGCAGACAAGAACCTTCGAGATTTAATATTAAGGAAGAGGTAAGGGGGAAAAATAGAATAAGGGATATATTTAAAATATCTGTCTTACTCGTCTTTTCTGACTCTTTTAAGTATTATGTTACTGTAAACAGAACTGTAAACTTTATACATGGGAATTCAGTGACTCTAATGAGTACTTTCTGGGAATATATGTAGTAGGACAAGATGTTAATTAAAAAGAAGGAACCTGCCTTAAATGTTTTATATACGAGAGTATTGTACAGAACTGACCTCAAATTCTTGTTTTAATTATTATTTGCATTTTCCCACAGAGAAATTAATTGTAGCAACTTTGCTTTTTAAAGTAACCTAGATTTGTTAAATAAATACTTTGCTGGGTGAACAGATACATAATAGAAATAGTTTCTAATTTTTTCCTAAGGAAGAATCTTAAGTATTTCCCTAAACTTGATTTTTCTGGTTCATTCCTAGTGTGAAATACTTGGTTGCTTTTAAACAAAATATGTTCCAGACATAATGATTGTTATTTAATTGTAAGTGATCAACTAGACTGGTGGTTTTAAAGGTGATGTTATGCCCAGATTCTCTTGTTTCTCTAGAACCATACTTCTCTCCCAGTTATAATTTTGTGTGACATTTGTGGGTTCTTATCTGTTCACTAAATAGGTTTTATGGACTGGATTCTGAAGAGACATTTTTTTATCTCTCAGTTCTTTTTCTATATTTTAAGGAGGACCAGCCTACAACTTAATAAAGTTAAATACTTATAGTCATATGTTACTGAGTTGAGGTTGGGCTTTAGGTAAATAAATGTGCTTTAAAAATATGTTTCAGCCTGACATCCGAGCTGTATTTGGGTTGTTTTATTTCATATGGCCTCTCAGCGGGGTTTTTGGTGAGGTCTCCTTGCTTGCTTTTTCATGGTGTCTAGGACTAGTTACTGAACCACTCTTAAATAGTTTCACAAATCTTTCTTGTTTGTGTATAAGTTAATGCTTTCTCTGTAGGAATATGAGGCTGATAGCAGTAATAGTTTGCTATTTGGCCTAATTTGGGTGGAAAGAGCTCAATTGGTCTGTGGCTATAGACTTTGCTAGTACTTGTGGCAGAGCACTGCCAGTTCATAATTTGAACATCTTGAACCTAGAATGAAGTAAGTTAGTAATCACTACCTTTAAAGATACACTAACTAAACATTGTGACATCTTCTGATATTTTAGAGCTGATTTAATACCCTATAGAGTCACCACTTTGGAAGCAGGAGTGGCATCCACTTCCTAAATAACATGCCTCCAGAAACCCTATGAACTTTGATAAATGTCATTAGTCATAGAGGGGTTTTAAGCCTTTTGTTCATAGGGTCACTATGAGTCATGCTCGACTTGGAGGCAATCAACAGCATAGTCACCACTAGCCACATGTGGCTTTTAGATTCTATATTAATGACATAAAATTAAGAATTTGACATCTGCATCAAGTCATATAGTCAGTAGTCACATTAGACCAGTGGCAGGTGACAGCTGGCTTGGACGGTGAAGGCACAGAAGGTTTCTATCATCACAGGGATTTTTACTGGACAGTGTTGTTCTAGAGTTAAGCTGAAGTCAACGTTTCTTGCCTTTGGAGATAAGCAGGACTAACAGGCGTAATTCTCAATGCTAAAGAGAGGCTTGTACGTCTTGAATATTGCTCTTCTGACTAGATCTTTTGACTAGTTGAACCGCAGCCTAATTTTGACCCTAAAAACTATGTTTAAAATATTTAATGATTTTCCCTCTCTCTCACATTGAAGGCAAGTAGCGGGTCTGAGAGTGGGAGTCCAAAACGAAGAGGCCAGAGGCAGCTGAAAAAACAGTAAGTTTTTCATGGGGGACTTGACTTGATCAAGCATTTTGGAGGCTTTTTTCCTACAGGAGGCTGTGTAGGCACTGCCAGCGCTCTACCCCAGGACTGCCACAGGCTCTATCCTGCTCCTGTGTCTCTGTGTACTTTGACTACTGCAGCCTTTTAAGCCCAAATTCTCAGTTTAACACATGGAAAGGGGGTCTTCATGCAACTGGGCTATTCTTGGGGCAAGCCCCAGAGTCTTCCAGCTGATTGGCCAGTTCAGCCCCTCGTCAACATCATAATGTTTGCAAATACCAGATAAATATAAGTAAACACACTTACTTCTAGTTAATCAAAGAATAGCTTTGAGTTTGCCCTTTCTCATTTGCTTATATTGATGTTGATGTGGAAGAATGATATTAATTGGGTATTACTCTTGGGCTTAAATGAAATTAGGGCTTCAGTGGCCGGCCTAGTCCATAGATCATTGTGCTGCTAACCCAAAAGTGGAGGCTCTGGTGGTTCGAGTACACTGGCTATTACTAGTGAGAAGGGTGGACAGTCTCCTCCTGTGCAGTTTACATACTGATAACTCGGTAGAGGGTCAGTGATAAGTCGGTTTCTAACAGATGTTTATACTCAATATTTTCTTAACGTTAGTTAAAAATTATGATACTGGGGGGGAAAAGTAACGTTGTTTGAGAAAGGCTAAAATATTTTTTGAAGGGATTTGATTCTCTTTGGCTATATCAATTCTGCAGACCCTCTTAAGAAAATGTAAGTACTCGATATGTACAGATTTAGATGACTCTTGACAGTTGTCCATGGCCCTTAATAAGAGCTCTTGTTAAATGTTCTCGGATTAAAGTGTTAGTAGGCATTAGTAAGTGTTTGTGTCGGAGCCAGCTGTGTGAATCTTTCAAACCCATTTCTTCATCTCCAAAATTGTGTCTTATCCTGCTTACCTAGCCAGACTATTAAAAGTTATGAACAATAAGCAAACAAATAGCATGCTACATGAAGGCTTCTGTGACATTAAATGTATGTTATTAAAATAGTGACAGAAAAGTCAAGTATGTAATATTATCTGCTCACAAGTACATCACCTTTTGTTTGTGTTTCAAGTATGTCCTTAGAGCTGGAGGAGTCATGGTGAGCAGGCCTGCACTTGTTGCTGGGCAACCTACATCTTACAAGACTTTGTTCTACCTCAGTTTCCTGGCCTGCTCAGGAGACGCTGTTCTGTATAACTAGTCTTTCCTGTGGGGAGCTCTAGGGGCTTAGTCCTGGGGAGCTGCACTGATAACCCAAGGGTGGTGCTTCTCTGGGGGTTTGAGTCCACCAGAGGCTCCTTAAGTTGACTCCCACTCATAGGGACCGTGTGTAAAATATCAAAACTCTGCTTAGTCCTGTGCCCTCTTCCCTCACATTCTCTGCTGTGCTTTTGCTAGCCATTGCTAAAGGCATTGTCCATCTCATTGAAGATCTTTGTCTCTTTCACTGATCCTCTAGCTTTCTAAGCAAGATGTTCTTTTCCAGGAATTGGCCCTTCCTGACAAAATGCCCAAAGTATGTGTGGGAGGCGGAGTCCCACAATCTACTCCCAAGGAATAATATAATCTAGCTGCTTTTTCTTAGGGTCTCAACATGAGCTGAAGTAGTCCTCAGTTTCTGTTTTGAGCACTGGCTTCTTACACTCCTCGGGCGGCTGATGCATGCTATGGCCATATGGGGGAACCTTTCTGAGACAGGGTTGCACAGCACTACAGGGGTTGCTGTGATCTCTCCAAGTGTAACAGCTTAATGTGTGGATACAGAAAATTGAGGAGAGAGACTCAAAGCAGGGGAAGATGAAGTACCAGCACAGGGTAATTCTTTTCCTGAAATCCTGGAGGCCCTACTTACACATTTTAGGAGTACTATTTATAGGTTTCTAAGTAATTATTTATTTTTTGGAAGTATTAATTTAAATGTCTAGAAAAGAGTTTTAAGAGTAAAAGTAGTACAAATAGCACCAGCATATTTAAATTAGATTCACTTTTATCTTTTGTGCTTTTATCATTTTTGATGCTCTGTTTATTTATTTACACGCCTCAATTATTTTCCTGAACTACGCAAAGATGTGTGACTATGTGGATCACAACAAACTGTGGCTGACTCTGAGAAGAATGAGAACCCCAGAACTCTTTTTTTGTACTTATGTGAAACATATACTTGGACCAGGAGGCAATTGTCAGAAAAGAGCAAGGAGACACTGCATGGTTCAAAATTGGGAAGGGTGTACACCAGGGATGTATTCTGTCTCCATATCTTTTCAATCTATATGCAGAACGGATCTTCCAGGAGGCTGGGCTGTACAAGGAAGAATGTGGCATCAGGATTGGTGGAAGATTCATCTACAACCTGTGTTATGCAGATGACACAACCTTGCTTGCTAAAACTGAGGAGGACCTGAAGTGCTCACTGCAGAAGGTCAAGGACTACAGCCTTCAAATACGGGTTGAAGCGCAACATCAAGAAAACAAAGGTTCTCACCACTGGGCCAATTGGCACCATCATGATGGATTGTGAAGAAATTGAGATTGTTAACAGTTTTAGTTTGCTTGGCTCCACAATCAACACTCTTGGTACCAGCAGCCATGAAATCAAGAGATTAATTACATTGGGGAAGTCTGCTGTCAAGGACCTCTCCAGAGTACTGAAGAGCAACAGTGTCAGTCTGGAGACTAAGATGTGCTTGATCCGAGGCCATAGTCTTCACAATTGCTTGCTATACATCAGAGAGCTGGACAATGACTAGGGATGAAAGAAGGAGAATTGATGCCTTTGAGCTGTGGTGCTGGAAAAGAGTTTTGAATATACCCTGGATTGCCAGGAGAACAAACAGATTTTTGCCTTGAGAGGGTGAATCTAAGCTGCTCCTTGGAGGCAAGGATTCTGAGGCTTTGTCTGACATACTTTGGGCATGTTGCAAGGAGGGACCAGTCCTTGTAGAGGGATGGCATGCTTGGAAGGCTGGAGGGATGGAGAAAGGAGACCATCGAGATGGATTGATACAGTCACTGGGGTAATGAGGGTAGGTGTGTCAGAGACAATCAAGTTGGCACAGGACAGATCAGGGTTTAGGGCTGTTGTACATAGGGTCTCTGTGAGTCACAAGCAACTTAATGACACAGAACAACAACAACAATTTGAAAGCAGGTTTTGGACATCATGACTTTTTACTCCCAAATACTTAAGTGTTTTCTATAATGTAGTATAATAGTACTAGTAAGAATAAGTATGATCTCTTTCAACAGCATAGTAAATTTTCAACTTTACTTTTAACATTAACATTATGTCAGTGCTTTTTGTATGATTTAAATTTCAGTTTTATCACTTGACCCAATCATTGTATTTTTTATTTTGTATTTTCATAAAATACATATAATAAAACATTTGGCATTTCAGTCATTTTTATATTACAATCCTGTGAAATTACAATATTTTTTTGTCATCTCTACTACAGGTGTTGCATTAATTATAATTTTTTAAAAATAATTTTAATGGATATTTACAGTAATCATAATATTTTTTAAAAAAATCTAAAGTCACTTTCTTTGCTTTTATGACATTCTCCCTGTCCTTGGGGTTTTCTAAATTGTCAGTGCTGTCTTGGAGCAGGATAGACTTTGTTACTTTGTACATAATAGGGTGACTTTATGCACTGTGGAGGCCAAAATGAGGCAGGAAAAATTACAGCATTTGCCAATTTTTAAGAACATTAATGAGTATTGCATGAAAAAATATTTAATAATCAAAGCAACGTAAGTAGGTTAAATGAATTTCAAAGTTTTGTTTGACTCTAAAGCCTTTACGTTTTCGCTTAAGTATTTCATGCCTCGTGGTACTTTCTTTTTTTTCCCTTCCTGTAAGACTCATACAGTAAGATTCCTGTAGGTTATGGCTCTTTCAAATTTTCTAAAATCTCAAGAGAGCAAAGGAACCTGGCCTAACTTATGTAATAATTGTTATAAAGTACATCTTTATTAAGCACATTATCTTGTGGATGGCAAGTTTGTCAGTGAAAAATATGTTTAGGCATCAGAACAGATGAGGAGAGGAACTGTCTGAAAGGAGCGTATGATTAGGTATTGTATGTAGGACAACAATCTGGAACAAGCAGTGCATTGCAAAGTGGACTGATGGAGGGTAAGCGAGGGGAATGGAGGAAAATGTGTAACATAGACAAATGAAAAGCCAGACTTTCTGTAGAATCACAATAAAAAAATATAAAAGAAAAATATGTTTAGGGACTGATTTTTTTTTTTTCATATACTCTAGAGATGTCTAGTACCCACTTAGCTACTTACTCACTGCCTTCTCGTTGATTCCAGTGCATAGTGGCCTGTTGAGCAGAGTAGGGTTTAAGCAGAGAGCATAAGTCTCTACGAATGTAGGCTCTCGTGTCCTTCTCCCAAGGAGTGATTGGTGGGTTCCAATCTCTGGCTTTTTGCTGAATGCTTGCCACTGTGCCATCACTGTGTTACATAATCTAGTAAAAGATGTTCCCAACCAAGAGCCCCACTATCCTCTACAGATACCAGATTTCAGACTCTGAATCAGAAATTCTGTGTCTGGATGTCACCAGTCTGTCTTAACAAACTTTCTCGGTGGTTTTGATGCATATGAGTATTTTGAGAACCACTGACATACAGGTTTTAGATCTTAGTATTGATAGTTGTCAAACAAAACTAAATGAGAAATGTAAAGTTTATATTTTTAGAGAAAATTACTAAAAAATATATTGTGCTTAAAGTGCAACAATGGATGAATGGAAATCCAAAATCTCTGTAAATGTTCATTAAAATTAATAAAATAAAACTTAAAAAAACACATTATCATGATGAGAAGAAGATAATAAAAGACATTCTAAAGGATAAAAAATATATTGTGGTTTCTTCTTTGCACTTTGCCCTCCTTATTTTTATATAAGGAAATAAAGTAGGAGTAGATAACAAGGAAAAATGACTACTGAATTTCATATTGCTCTAGAATCAGTCCTTTAGTAGAACATTTAAACAGTGCATTCTCAATGTTTTCCAAAGTCAGAATGAAACTGATTTTGTCAGCTTGTTTACCTGGAAATTGCTTTAAAAGTAATTTTGCTTTGCTTTTGATTATAGAGAAAAATGGAAGCGGGACCCCTCTGAAGATGAACAGGATCAAGGCACCAGTGCAGAGAGCGAACCAGAGCAAAAAAAAGTGAAATCCAGAAGACCCATCCCCAGAAGGTCCAGTGTTTGCCTGGGGAATCTCTGCTCTGGACTAGCTTCATTTGTTAGATTGAAAAAAATGCCAAGTGTTGGGGTGATAACCCTAAGTGAATTGAGGGAACAGATTCTTAAGTTCAGAACCCTGGTGTTAGGAACCTGGGTTTGGAATGCCTGTGGTTCATTTTGCCTTCTGGTCAGCAGATGATTAGATGGCAGAGCTGAGTCACTGTGGTGTTTGAATGGGGCGTAGCTCTGATGTCATTGCCGTTGGGTAGGCACTGACGCATAGCTGGCCCTCCATTGTGGTTCTGAGGGGGTAAATGGCACGGGAGGAGAGTGCCCATCTTCCTCCCACAGAGCTCTGACTGGATTTGAACTCCCAGAGGGGCATGGCCTTTGGGTTAGCAGTACAGTTCTCTTTGGGCTATACCACCAGAGTGCGCTTGCATAGCTAAGGACAGGAGGTGTGACTATCCTTAGCTTAAAAAAACCCCAAACAAACTCTTTGTGTATTTGGCTAGTGGACAGGTTCTTTTTGGGCAGACTAGTTTATTTTTAATTACATTGTTTATATGATCTATCTAATGTTAAGCAGGGAATTCTGCTGATACAGAGAAAGAGGTAGGCTGAGGTGTCAGATAATTTTGGATCAGACAGATGGCAGCGTGTTGGAGGGCTGGATTGAGACAGGAAGCAGACAGGCCCCATGAAAAGTTTCCTTTCTTGCAGTATTAGCATGAGGCTGGCGAGTAGTGGCCTATGGACCACATCCATCCTGCCTGCTTTTAGTGAGAATAGTGTTTTATAGATGAATATTTGTAATGAATTTGATTTGAATACCAGTTAAGGAAAATGTTACCACAATTTTGCTTTCCTCATGAGTAAGCTCTTTATCTGTAAAGGGAGCAGATACAACGTGGATGTGGCCAAGCCTGACTTCTACGCACTTCATAAAGAACTGTGCTCATCAATAATTTCTGACAAATAGCTCCGTAGGCAGACATGCCACCCATGTACTCCTACACCTATTTCTACCAATCATTGGGTTCAGTATTTGTTGCAAATTGACTTGCAGACTTTACTCGCAGTTGTGAAGTTTATTGAGAAAATACTTTGGAGAATGGGAGAGGTTTAGTCCAGCAGTCCCAAGCCAGATTAACAGCAAGACACAGTTCCCCAGTTAGTTCAGATAGCTTCTCAGTCAACAAGTGAAAGTCTAGGTTCAGTTTAGCCACACAAATAAATCTGTGGTTCCCTCAGTCATCCAGCAAACTTGGTCTCAGAGCAGTTATAACCCAGCCTTTCCTTCAGGCATCTGGCAAGCAAAACCTTTAACTGTGGCTCCATCTCTGGGGCTCCTTTGGTTACACCTTGTAATAGTCTTTTCACCCACTCTCCACCACCATTTTTCACAGTGTGGAAGGCACTCTCTTATATTGGTCCCACACCTGTTGATCATTTGCAAGACCAGTGAAGGTAGCTGGAGATTATGTGGGCTATTTTTATGAGTAAATAGTATTAATTTTTAACTAGGTCCTGATTGGTGAATATTTAAAATATTTCTAGTTTTTTATTATGGCAAATAAACCAAAACCCAAGCCTATTGCTGTTGAGTCAGTTCTGTCTGTAAGTCCATAAGGTGGAATTCTATTCCTAGTAGAACAGTTGCATTTGTCAATTTTATAGATTTTACTGTATTGCACTACAAAAAAGGTACCATCTGCAACATCTATGAGTATATTTTTGACACCAGGTATTTCCAGTGAATAATTGAGATCCGTGGCCACAGAACTTTATCTGTGATCTCTTGTAATAGAGCATTAGAAGTATTAGAATCACTCTGAGCTCATATTGAAAATAATATGGTTGTGTGGATAAGAATTTTAGGGAGTGGGACTCAAGAATGTGCATTTATAAAAAAACCTTTTTATTTTGATTTGACTGAAGGTTTACAGAGCAGAATCGTTTCCCATTCAACCCTTCATACACATTTTTTTAAAAAATAAATTTTTTTCTGGATTTTGACATTGCTCACAGCATTTTTCCCATTTCCTCTCTGTGATTCTGGTTTCTGTTCATCCTTCTGTCCTCTCCCTTCCTGCCTTCTGAGCATAATCACAGGGCAGATGATGCCCTTTTGATGTTGGGTGGTTGTCTGTTCTTAGGACTGAGTTCCTTCCTGATGGTGGTCCTGTCCACCAGTCTGTTGTTTGGCTGAAAGTTGAGCCACAGTGTGAGTTGAGTTCCAGACTCGGAGAATGACTAAGCATCCTAGTCTCTGGATTTCCACTAGTCTGGCCATTTTTATGAGGAATGTGCATTTTCAACATCCCTTAAGTGAATCTGAATTATGTCCTGTGTGTCTAGAAAACACTGTTGTATAATTTGAAGTTGATCCCAATTGCTGGAGTCTAAGCTTTACCATTTTTTCTTATTTCAGGACAGTGCCCAAGCCCCGTGTTAAAAAGCAGTCTAAACCTCAGCGTGGTAAACGAAAAAGACAGGAGTCCTCTGATGATGACGATGATGACGATGAAGCTCCCAAAAGACAGACCCGTCGCAGAGCAGCTAAAAATGTTAGGTACACTGTGCCTTAGAGGTTTTCATTTGTCAATTGTGATTGTAATGGTAGCAATATATATATTTTTTTTTATTATGTTTTTTTCCTTGTGGTTTTGTTTACACAGTAATGTAGCATCATTCAAGTTGTCTGTGTTTTGCTTACACAAAGTATTATACATGAATTTGTGTTTATTTTAAAGAGTTAATCTTTCTACACTTCTCTATGAATATGCACTGTTGCTTTAAGTTGTTGTTGTTAATATACCCTCGAGTTGGAACTGACTCATAGCTGATCCTCCAGTGGGTTTTTGTAGGCATTAATCACATGGGAAGAGATTGCCCATGTTTCTCCTGAGGAGTAAGCTGGTGGATTCTTACCATGTGCCTTTGGGTGGGCAGTCTAACTCCTTCTCTCTAAAACCCAAGAGCTCATTGCTGTAAGGAGGGAGGGTGGTGGGGAAAGAAGCTTGAAACCTACTTTAAAACTGAATGTTGGGATCAAAACCCTAGGCCTATTTCTAGTGGCGTTAAAATAACTGCTTACTTCTAACACTACAGCTTCTCATTTAATCAGTGCTGTTCCTCGTGCAGCTATAAAGAAGATGATGACTTTGAGACTGATTCCGATGACCTCATTGAAATGACTGGAGAAGGGCTTGACGAACAACAAGACAATAGTGAGACTATTGAAAAGGTCTTAGATTCCAGACTGGGAAAGAAGGGAGGTATGTGTCCTTGGGTTGAAAAATGCTCCCTCTGACTGCTTATTAAGGCCCAGATTTTCAACTCTGAAGTCAGGAGTTTCAGTTGGTAATTAAGTTTGTTATGAAATGTAAAAGGCTTTTTCTGACCCAGTTCTTATGTTTCAGAGATGTGGACAGTGGGTCTAATATTTCTTTAGGATTTTAAAATTAAACCAGTGATGAAAAATGTTACTATATTAAAAAGTCATAATAGCAATGCTTGCTCATTAGCATTAGGCAAATGCACTCTTAATTAGCTCTTTCTGAATTTCTTTGTGAAAAGTATCAAACTTCTTAAATACATACATGAACAATAGTGTGATGATTTTTTCTAAGATCACCAGTGTTACTATCTAAGCATTTTAAAGCAACCTTTTAAAAAGGAAACATAAAAATACTGCTTCATGCCTTTCCTTTGCCCCTTTGCTCTGATTTTATTTGAAGTTAAAGGAGCTGACAGAGAACCCTGGGCCAGATAGGTGAGGAGGAAATATTTACATTTTCTGACATTTTCTTAATATTCCTAGAGAAAGGGCTTTATTTTCTAAGTTGAGACCAAAACAGAAGGATGATGTTGTTTTATTTTTACTGTTTTTGGACACAGTGATATCTTTTATTTCTCATACAAACTCCAGAATTACTTTAATAAGTATAAAATCTGGGTTTGCATTTTGCAAATGTTCGAGATTATTGATCAAGTCCATTGTTAGTTATTTTTGAATTTCTACTCTTTTCAAGTCAAAGTGTTTTTGGTGCTGCATCTAAAAGAGGCTCTTTAGAAGATTGCTTTCTTGGAAAGGTCTTGTTTAATAAACTCTTTTTAAAGTTTAACTGAATCCTTTTGCAGCAACTGGAGCTTCTACAACTGTATATGCGGTTGAAGCTAATGGAGACCCTAGTGGTGACTTTGACACTGAAAAGGATGAAGTTGAAGTCCAATATCTCATCAAATGGAAGGGTTGGTCATATATCCACAGCACGTGGGAGAGTGAAGAATCCTTACAGCAACAGAAAGTGAAGGGCCTAAAAAAACTAGAAAACTTCAAGAAGAAAGAGGATGAAATCAAACAATGGTACATTTTCCATCATGGATTAAAGCACTATATTTGAAGCCTGAGAGAAGGGAAAAAATTTAGTAATGCATGGAGAAAACAGATATCTAGAATCTCAGATTTTGGTTTGATCATCTCAACAAGGAACTATTTACAGCCTTGTGTTTATAAGGTTGTGGCCTGAGTTCTTACGTAGATAGCCACCGTGGTTTTGGCGTGTAAAAAGAACTGTGCCGAGTGAGCGTTTTCCACACGTTGTGTTTTGAATTCTCATGGGAAAGCTAGGAGAGTTGTGTTGCTGTCTTGCCCCTGCTGCACGAGGAGAAACGAGGCACAAAGTTTGCCCGCAAGCAGCTCTGCACAGGGGGCCAGCAGTTGCCATGGTCTTTGTGTGAAGCACTTTGTTAGCTTGCATATTTGTGCTTACGTGTGCGAAGTTGATATTCTAGACCTCTCTGGTCCACGTGAAGGACATTTTGCTTTTGTGAATATGATGTTAGGGGAAGCAGTTAGAGAATGTATAAAGCTAAAATAGTCAGTGCTGTTTTTGCCTTGTCACTCTGAGTGTATTAGATTTGCATATGAGAAATCTGTGGAGCTACTGCACACAAACCTAAATTGAGTAATAGCACGTATCAAGTCAGCGCCGAAGACCCACTTCTAAGATGATTTGTGTTGGGGTTGTGTTGTGTTAGCTTTCTAACTCTAGTTCCACAGAATGTACTGTTTGGATCACCTCTTTACTCATAAAATATGTATGCTGAATTAGGGTTTGTGCTTAAACTGCTAGTTTAAAGATTGGTGGTCCAAACTCCCACCTAATGTACTGTGGAAGAAAAGACTGGCCATCCCTTCCCCTAAGGTGATGGCCAGGGCAATCCTGGGGAGCAGTTGTCTGTAGCACAAGGGGCCACCCCAGCTATAGGCTCACTTGACAGCAAGCAGGTCACTGGAACAAGTTAGCGGTGGGTTAGGCAGAAAAATCACAAGAAGAAGATTAAGAATCTAATTTCAAGTTGCTATTTTTCTTTCAAAAGCACAAAAAAGTCACAAAAAAGCAGTCTTGTGGAAATGGAAATTCTTTCGGTGTGGTAGACAATTTTCATATCTTAATTTGTAGATAGAAATTTGTCACTTGACAGTTATTTTCAGGATTCTGTCTAGATAGGTCACATCTGAGAGGTGAGCAGCTGGCATAACATCCTGTGATTCTGAGGTCTTTAGTGTTTTCTGAAGTTGTGTGCTTAGACTAGAAGCTCTACCTAATTGCAGATTAGTGGAAGGTTATTAAAGGGACAGAAGGAAGGAAAAAAGTTTCTTTTTCTTTGACTTTTGCTTTGATGTTTGTTTATGGATTCTCCCAGATCTAATTAGGATGTATTTTTCCTGTCTGTTTTCTCTCCAGGTTAGGGAAAGTTTCTCCTGAAGATGTAGAATATTTCAACTGCCAACAGGAGCTGGCCTCTGAGTTGAATAAACAGTATCAGATAGTAGAAAGAATAATAGGTGAGTACCGAGAAGCTTATTTTAGCAGAATTTGAGCCAAGGAATAGTGCTCTTGCTTTTGGAAGCAATATCAACAAGTATGTTTTCTTTCTTATTTTGAGAGTAGACAAATGGCTTAGATTTATTGGGAAGAAGGCCAAGTTTGGTTGATGAGAGAAGTGCCAAGGATAATATTGAGGTTCTTAGCGAGTGTAGCAGAAGAAGTACCATTTAGTGAAGTGGAAAGATTTAAGGCAGGAGCTGGTTTAGGGAGTTGAAACGTGGAGAAGTTTGTTATCTGTAAAGTCGATGTACTATGATATCTGTAAAGCCTGTGTACTATTTAGTCTGTCTGAGTGGAGAATACTGTGAAAATGGTAGCACATGTGAACCTGGATTTCAGAGTTACTGGTCTGGGACTGGAGGTTTAAAGATCATAGTTATCTGTATACAGACAGTTTTTAAAGCCTCAGATTTCATAAAGCTCGCCAGAACTAGAGTATACATAGTGTGAAAGAAAGTCTGAGGACATTCCAGGATTTGGAAGTCAGAACTAGCAAAGGAGACTGAGAAAGAGCAATCAGTGAGAGGAGAGGAAGAGCCTTGGCCGGCCGGAGTGTACGAGAGCCAGGCTGTGTGCATGGCTACAGGAGGAAGAAGCAGTAGGTCAGATGCCGTGAACTTAGACCTGAGCCGTGAGATGGGCAGAGGGTGTGGAAGTGATGGCATGTTGGGGATCAAGCCTACTTGGGGTGGGCTCAGGAAGGAGTTGGAAGGGAGTCAATAGAGACAGCGCAAACAACTATTCTGGGGAGTTTGATTATAAAGGAGAACAGGAAAAAAAAAAATAAAGGAGAACAGGAGTGGAAGAGTAGTTAACAGTAGATCTGAACTGTTTTAATGATTTGAGACAGTTGTTTCTATGTGTCCTGAGTATGTCTGACCTGACCTAGTTTTTTTCATTCACTGGACAGAAAGTCTAATTTTTTTCCTTGATTATGACGAAAGTTTTTATCTGTATTCTTCTGTTTGTTTTTTTTTAGCTGTGAAAACAAGTAAATCTACTTTGGGTCAAACAGATTTTCCAGGTAAGTGAGAGATCTTGTTTTAACAGCAGGTCTTGTTTTGCAAAGTTTATACTATTTTGTCACATAATTGATTTTACCAAAAAATGAATGTCTCTCCTTGCCTTTAATATAAAGGTAGTGGTCTGTATACATTTTTATTTCTAAACTAGCTCACAGTAGAAAGCCGGCACCTTCAAACGAACCTGAGTATCTGTGCAAATGGATGGGACTGCCATACTCAGAGTGTAGCTGGGAGGATGAAGCCCTGATTGGAAAGAAATTCCAGAGTTGCATCGACAGCTTTCACAGTAGGAACAACTCAAAAACCATCCCAACAAGAGAATGCAAGGTATGGTGATTTTTACACCACGTACATTATTCTCTTACAAAAGGCCTTCTTTATCACTTAAACATCATTTGATTTTAAGAAGACTGCAAGGCATATTTTTGGCTTAAGGTTTAAAGCTTACTTCAGTGGATTCTTTCATCATTAGTGGCTCCAGAAAGTCTAGAGTTCATGAGAATTTGAAGTTCTCTTCTGCCTTTCCCCACTTTCAATCAAGATTCATCTATTGAATCTTTGAAGTGTTCAGTAATAATGGTAGCTGCGTGTCCTCCAGTTCTGATCTTCTGCCAAAATGGGCAGCTGTTTGTGGAGGTGATGGAGTTTGTATAACTTTTTAATCTTCTGCTTCCCAAACTGATTTACTACAGAATTCCCATTTATTGTTGTATCAGTGAGTCGATTCTGACTCCCAGTGATCCAACAGAACAGAGTAGAACTCCCCCTAATTTCCTCTTGTGTTTTGGACATGTTATTAGTAGGGTCCAGTTTTCAGATAAGGACAATTACTGGTAGAGAGTCAGTGAAGAGAAGTCTTCAACGAGAGTTGTCTTGACACAGAGACTCTAACTTTAGCCACAGGCCCATGTGTAGCAGTGGTTGTGAGAATGACGTAGTATTGGCAGTGCTTTGTGCTCTTGTACGTAAGATTACTGTCTGTGATAACTGACTTGATGACATCTGACAGCATAACAAAAACAGTCTTGAAGGGCACAGATTGCCAGGTCTTTTCCCTTGCACTTAACCATTGTGCCATTGGTATTTTTCAAATCTTTGGAAATGAAAATAACATACTTTCCTTGAAAATCAAACTCTTTAAGTTGGAGCTTCAAGGTAGGGTCAGGCTGCACCTGGCATTTACAGGACCAGTTTGCATATGAAAAACTTTGCCATTGGCATTCTTTTACATTGTTAGTAGTAAGAACAAAGATAATTGTATGATGTGAAAGTAGGATACTCTCCCTGCCATGCAGGAAGAAAAGTTGTTGTTTTTGTTATGTACTTTCGAGTCATAGCCAACCCATAGTCAGAACCGACCCATAGCTGACTCTCTGATGGGTTTTCAGAGGCAGTTAATCACACAGGAGGAGATTGCCCTCTCCCATGGAGCAGCTGGTGGCCTCAAACTGCATGCCTTTGGGGTTACAGTGCAGCTTCTTGTCACTAGGCCACTACAGCAAAAAATAAATTAAAAAAAGTAAATCACCTGTATGGATGATATAGTAAAAATAAGAGCTGTTGGATGTTATTTGCAACTTATTTCAGGAAAGGAGCAGATCAACTAAAACATACTTGTTTTCAGGATGAGATCGATCGAGCTTTGGGAATATAGACCACGAAGGAGAAAAGGTTGACAGGTTTGTTGTCAGCAGGGGTTGGTGATTCAGATGTGAAATTTCTGGTTTTGTTTTTTGGTGCTTGTTTTTCTGTGCCACCGAGTTGAGTACAACGTCTAGGGACCCTGTGTATGAATCTGAAATCTGCCCAAGCTGTGCCATTCCCACCATCTGCAACACACTTGAGCCCATAGTTACAATCACTGTGTCAATCTGTCTTGTTGTGGGTCTTCCTCTTTTATACTGACCTTCTACATTTTCAATGATAATGTTCTTTTCTAAGGTTAGTCCCTCCTAAAACATGCCCAAAGTATGAGAAACTGAATTTCTCTATTCTTGCCTCCAAGGAGCATTCTGATTTCATTTTCTCCAAGACCTACCTGTTCTCTTGGCAGTCATGAAATAGTCTAGTACTCTTCTCCAATACCACCATTCACAAGGTATCAATTTTTCTGTCATCTTTAGTCACTGTCCTATTTTGAGATGCATATTGAGCAGTGAGGGAGACCATGGCTTTAATCAGGTGCACCTTAGTCTTTAAGCTGACATAATTGTTCTTTAGTTCTCTAGAGAGATTCTGAACACCAGTTTTCCTGCTGTTACTTGTCCACTAATTGTGTGGTAGCATGCTAGCAAATATATGAATAGGAAGGAAATTTTGTTCAAACTGGGCTTTGTTAATTTTTGTTTTTCAGGCTTTAAAGCAGAGGCCACGGTTTGTAACTTTAAAGAAGCAGCCAACATATTTAGGAGGGGAGAATCTGGAACTTCGTGATTATCAGCTAGAAGGTCTCAATTGGCTTGCTCATTCCTGGTGCAAGTAGGTAGAAAGATAAGCTTTACTATTTCTTCACTCTTTCTACATTCTTTTTGTTATGTCCAAAAGTGTATTTCTTTATTTCTGTGGTGGTAAAATAATACCTCAGTGCTCTGAATTGGTTTTGACTCATAGTAATGTCTTCCATTGGATTTCAAAAGTTGTGAAAGTGTTTATTGGGGTGGGTGGGAAATGGTGGGAAATTTTCACTGCAGAAGATTGACCTTTCAGTTAGCATTGCAGTACATTATGAGGTATATCACTGAGGCTTCTCTTTCTACTATATATTATAGAATTTAATAATTAATATAATAATAATAATAATGATAATGTGATTGAAAAATGTCTTCTGGAATTTTTAACTCAACTCATTGCCATTGGAACTGATGCATATAAGTTGACCCTCCAACTTGTGTTTGTTGTTGTTTACCATCGAGTCGAAACCAACCCATAGCTGACCCTACAGCAGGTTTTCAGAGGCAGTTTAATCACCCAGGAGGAGATTTCCCATTCTTCTCCTGCAGAGCAACAGCTGGTGGATTCACATCAGAGCCCACTGTGTCTGTATAATAGGTAATTTAAATTTGAAGAATAGATTACTTTATTAATGAATTAATTTTGTAGCTGAACTGCCCCATAAGTAATTGGAGGAAGACTCATTAACAACCTGCATTGTGCAGATGATATAACCTTGATCACTGAAACTGAGGAGGACTTGAAGTTTTTGGTGCAGATGATCAAGGACTATAGCCTTCAATATGGATTGCATCTCAACACAAAACAAAAATCCTCACCACTGGGCCAGTTGGGCAGCATCGTGTTGTTGTTATGTGTCGTCTGTGTTGTTTGTGACTCATAGGGACCCTATGTACAACAGCCCTAAACCGTGCTCTATCCTGTGCCAATCACATTGCCTCTGACACACCCATCCCGATTACCCCATTCACCGAATCAATCCACCTCATAGAGGGTCTTCCCCTCCTGCGCTGTCCCTCCACCCTACCAAGCATGATGTCCCGCTCCAAGGACCGGTCCCGCCTCACAACAAGTCCAAAGTATGTTAGACAGGGCCTCAGAATCCTTGACTCCAAAGAGCCGCCCGCTTTAACCCTCTCCAGGATGAATCTGTTTGTTTTCTTGGCAGTCCATGGTACATTCAATACTCTTCTCCAGCACCACAGCTCAAAGGCGTCAATTCTTCTTCTATCCTCCCTAGTCATTGTCCAACTCTCTGATGCATAACAAGTGATTGCAAAGACCATGGCCTTTATCAGGCACACCTTAGTCTCCAGAGAGACACCGTTGCTCTTGAGTACTTTAGAGAGGCCCCTAACAGCAGACTTTCCCATCGCAATACGTTTTTTGATTTCCTGGCCGCTGGTGCCAAGAGTGTTGACCGTGGAGCCGAGTAAACTGAAGCTGTGAACAATCTCAGTCTCTTCACCATCCATCCTGATGCTACCAATTGGTCCAGTGGTGAGAATCTTTGTCTTCTTGACATTGAGCCTCAGTCCATATTGAAGGCTGCAGTCCTTGACCCTCTGCAGTAAGTGCATGAGGTCCTCCTCAATTTCAGGGAGCAGGGTTGTACCATCTGCATAACGCAGATTGTTGATAGATCGTCCACCAATCCTAACGCCAAGCTTCTCCTCATAGAGCCCAGCCTCTCAGATAATCTGCTCTGCATACAGGTTGAAAAGGTATGGAGATAGGACACATCCCTGGTGTACAACCTTCCCAATTTTGAACCATGCAGTGTTGCCCTGCTCTGTTCTGACGACTGCCCCAGGAATAGATGGTATACCAATTGACATATTTCAGCTAACAGATGCTGCACTGGATGTGCTCACCAAGTTGTGCCAAGAAATCTGGAGAACAACTTCAATCCTAATACATCATAATATGTATTTGCATAACTAAAAAACACAAAACAAACCAGCAACCAAAAAACCCCAAATTTCTCTGGCAGTTCAAATCTACCAGTGGCTCCTTGTTAAGAAAATGGACAATCTCTTCTGTAATTTAAAGCCTCAGAAAACATTCTGGAGAGTCAGCTATGAGTAGAATCTGACTCTATAGCAATGAGTTTGAGTTACAATCTCTTTAATAGTGTTTGGGGTTTTGTTTTTTAGTTTTTTTTTTTTTAGTAGTAGTAGTGTTTTATAGTTTTCATTGTGTACCACTTGGCCAACTGACTGGAAGAGATCTATATTTGTTCCCATTCCAAAGAAGGGTGACCCAACAGAGGGTGGAAACTACAGTACAATATCATTAATTTCACATGCAAGCAAGATTCTACTGAAGATTATCCAGAAATGACTGGAACAGCACATTAGCAGAGAACTGCTGGAAGTCCAGGATGGGTTTAAAAGGGGTCGTGATACTAGGGATATTGTAGCTGATGTTAGATGGATCTTAGCTGAAAGCAGGGAATATGAGAAGAATGTATATCTGTGTTTTATTGATTATGCAAAGGCATTTGACTGTGTGGATCATAACAAACTGTGGCTGACTCTGAGAAGAATGGGAATCCCAGAACTGGGCAGCATCATAATAGATGGAAAAAGGATTGAAATTGTTAACAATTTCATCTTGCTCAGATAACAATCAACAGCCTTGGCATCCATAGTCAGGAAACCAAAATACAAGTTGCATTGGGAAAATTTGCTGTCAAGGACCTTTGCAGAGTGCTAAAGAGCAATATTGTCAATCTAAAAACTAAAGTGGACCTGATCCAGGTCATGGCCTGTAATTACTTGCAGTACATCAGAGAGCTGGACAATGACTAAAGATGATGGAGAAGAATAGATCTGTTTGAGATGTAATGTTGGAGAAGAGTATTGAATATACCATGGACTGCCAAGAGAACAAGCCGGTCTGCCTGGAAAGGGTGAAACAAGGTTGCTTCTCGAAGGCAAGGATTTCAAAGCTCCATCCCACATAGTTCGGACATGTTACCAGGAGGAGGCAGACCTTGGAGAAGAACACCATGCTTGGAAGGGTAGGATATCAGCGCAGGAGAGGAAGACCCTGGGTGAGATGGATTCACACTGAGACTGTGGCACTGGGGTCAAGTGTGTTGGAGATGGTGAAGTTGGTCACTATGAGTCATAGTCAAACCAAGGGCACAGACCAACAGAGCCTTAAATGGCTTCGCTAGGATATCTTCAGAGTACTCCTTAAGTTTTAGTTCTTTCTCTTGCCAAGTAAAAATAGCAAAACAAGAATCCAGGCTTTTCTATGCAAGCCTGGGAAAAGGTTTACTAGGAAAAATACTTGATAAAGTAAAACCATATTGTGAGATTTAGGGCAACAAAACAATGCAGGCTCATGACATACAGAAGAATTGTATAGGTTTATAAAGACTGAGATGAGAAAAGGTTTGTGTTTATTCATAAGGGAAGGTAGAGGATTCTGGGACCCGTGTATTGGGTATTATGACGATTAAGGGCAGTCCTGCTGGAGCTTCGAGATGGACTCTGTTGCAAAGACTTCTGGGTCATAAGACATAACTTATTATGGGATAGTATGTATAGTCTCTGTGGGTGCCAGTTTGAGTTGAGTCGAAGACTTCCTGCTGAAGTCTATCTGTTCCTTCTAGAGGAAGGTCATATAGGATGGTAGACTGGCATGCTTAAAGAATCTGTTTAAACAGGTTCTGCCTGGAAAGCAAAGTAGCAGGAACTAAGTACTCATTGCAGTAGGGTGTGGGTGAGCATTATTATGGGGAAGCATCTGACTTGTAGTTTCCTGGCCTAACCCTGACACTCTCCTCCTGATCTGGCACTGGCTGCCCTAGCTCAATTTGTCTTAGCTGGAAACTTGTTATTTGTAAGATTTTAATACCACATTCAGTTTGGAGTAGAAGGAGTTGTTAAGGAAGAATAAAACAGCTTTTCTTTCTAGGTCATGTAAATCTTGAAAGTCAGAGTTGCAGAGAGTGAAGCCCCTTCTGCCTTGGGTTCCTATCCAGGCCAGTCATCCCGTTTAAAGGAGGGGTGACACTGTGAGAAGGGAGCTTTTTTGTGCTGAGATCACCTTCATCTTGGAGACAGAAGAGGGAAGCAGAGTTGACAGGATTTGAATCTTCAGGGTTCTTCTGGTTGCTAATCGTAAATCTATCAAATTCAGTGTAGGGCTGTGGTACATAGGGTCACTAGGAGTTGCAAGTGACTCGACGGCACATAAGAACAACAACAGCAACAACTCTGTCTAAAAGCCTTCGACCACTGTTGTATGTGAGGGACTGACCCAAGCCCTGGGAATTTAACTATGAACCATGACAAGCAGGATTTTCTGTCCTTATGTGAGAAGGATCTTACTGCTACAAATTCCTTTGCAGACATGAATATTCTTAATTTCATCCAGCATTTGTAAAACTCATGTATGTTGATCAGTGGTTTATAGTAAAGCAAAAATCTTTATTTCACGAATAAGCTACAAGCCTGAAAAGTAAAATTAACCATTCTAAGTTGTTTTTTCAGTGGAGAAAAGACAGTTTCTGATTAGAGATTCATTTGACTGTTTCCCACCTACATCCTCTCCCCTAAAATCTACTGAAATGTTTTGTTATGAAAGCGTGAGTCTTTGAAAAGTTGCGTTTACATGACTGATGGAATAATGACTGATGAAACTGTTCTGAGTTGTTTGGGAAGTATTTTCCTTTCAGAGGATTCCAAATGAAGTCTTAAGAAATTACATAATGCGCTCATTTTACATGTGAGGGTCCCTTGAAACAAAGGTGTCTTGTACCTTGTTCAGGGTTTGCCTTATTTCACGAAGAGTCCTTAACTGGCATTTTTCCTTTTAAATGATCATATAGACAGCTGGAAAAGACCCAAGCAGCTGGGCCTTTGACAGTCACAGGACTGTCAAATTCAGTTGTTTTTGGTCTGGTTTTTGAAACACAGTGAATGAATTTAAATCTCCTCTAGTGTGTACATGTTGTCATCAGCAGTTTGGTAGAGAGACAGAAATAGTGGAGAAGGTGAGCGCTGTTTTCCCCCCGGTGGTGTGGAAGGATGAGAAACTAATCAAAGTGCACCATAGCTGAGCAAGATTAAGTGTTTCTGAGATTGTAAAGGTGTGGCTGCCTCGCTCCGCCTTCTCCTGGTGTTCTGCTCTGTTCTTTGTGCCTTCCAAGTAGAGTTTCTGTGGAACACAGCCTTTTTTTTTTTAAATCATCTTTTCTTGGTGATTGAAATGTCCTTTTAAAATCATTTATCTTTAACCTGTATTACTACTTTAGGTTCTTTCTGGTTTCACTGATTAATCTCCTATATGCTGTGGTATGTTTGGGTTTTTTATAAATTTGTAAGTGGTTTTCAAGAGCCATCTAATTTATATTTTCACTTAAGCCATCACTTTCATATCAGTAACTATTGCTCTGGAGTTGGAACCCACTTACAGCTGACCTTCCATTGGGTCTCCAAGGCTGGAAATCGCAGAATAATTTGTAAACTCCTCGGAAATCCCACAGTAATTTGTAAACTCCTCTCTCTGCTCAAGAGCTGCCAGCAGATTTATTAGGAGCACCACTCCCTGCAAACAAGGCCACCAATTGTTGTTCTGTGTCGTCGAGTTGCCTGAGACGCATAGCAACCCTTTGCACAATAGCTTGGAACCCTGCCCTGTCCTGAACCAGTCTCACTGTCTGTGAAACTCCTGCCCTCGTTACCCTAGTTACCATGTCAATTCATCTCATCCGGGGTCTTCCTCTCCTGCTGTCCCTCCACCCCTCCAACCATTATGTCCTTCTCTAGGAACTGGTCCTTCCTGGCCACCTGGCCAAAGTGTGTGAGACAGATCTTCAACATTTCCTGTCTAGTGATCTATTTTATTTTCTAATTCCCAGTCTCGCTTACTTTAGCCATTTCCTCCTAGTTCCTACTTCGATCTATACAGTCTTTTCCTTCCTACTGTTGAAATCCAGCCCAACTCCTAAATCTATATTTCTCAAAGTATAGTAGGAACACCTGCCTTCAACTCTGCGTAAATGCTTATTGAAATTTCCAGTCCCTGAGGGTTTTCCTGGATGTTCTGATTCGGTAGGTATAGGCTGTGGCCTAGAAATCTCCTATGCCACATACCACCGTGGTAGACTGCCTGTGTGTCAGACATGCTTATGGTACCTGTAGCATGTGGAGTGTATTTTTATTTTTTTTCTATATTTTATTAATTTTCATAAACATTTGCAGAGATTTTGGGTTTCCATTCATTCATTGTTGCACTATTCTCTCTACCCTCCTCCCAGTTTGTTCTTGTCCAAATGCTACAGTGCTTGTCAAAGCCAGTTCTGATTAATCTTCTTTGTCAGTGTGTCCTTTGCCATTCCCTATCACTCCTCCCTGAGAGAGACTTCACCCTGAGTCATAAGGAAAAGGGGATGGCGTATTCTCTTAGCTACTTCCTGCTGAAAAGGGACGCTGTGGGTTTCAGGGTGAAGATCTTCTCTCACTACTCTAAAGGGCCCCTTTGGCAGTAGGAAACACATAGACTATTATGGAGATTGATTTTGGAATTTAGATGCACTCTTATTGATTGTGCTTGGCCGTACATGTTCATATCCTTGAAGATGTATCATGGGGGTGTTGCAACCTAGAAGACACAAATTTGACTAACAAGTTATAAATACATGAGTCCAGAAATTATGGAAAAGTAAAAGAAAAGATTCTTTCATTGTTTTACAAACCCTCCCCCAGGTCCCCTCCACCATGTGGAGTGTAGTAAAGCACTTGAAGTAGTGTGGGGTGGATAATCTGAAGAGAGGCATGAGACCCTGAGACTCTCAGACTCAGCAACTTGTGCCCTTTGTACTGATGGAACCCAGAGTCCTGTGCTTATATACAGCAGTAAACCAAACTTGCTCTCTCCAATACAAAGAACTGATATAAAGTAGCCTTCCATTACAAGTTAAGACATGCAGTGTAACTAATCTTGATCATGCTCTGAGGATACAGGGCCTTGACTTCTTCCTTATGGAGCCGCCCACAGATGTTGGTAAGTGAGTAGGAGTACAGTTGAGACGCTTGTTGGCTCTCATGGTTGGCACTGGAGCATTGGTATCAGCACTCCCTGTTTGTGATGAACTGATGGGTTGTTTGTTTTTTCTTTTTTTAATTCTGCAGAAGTAACAGTGTAATCCTTGCTGATGAAATGGGCCTGGGAAAGACCATCCAGACCATATCCTTCCTCTCCTACCTGTTCCACCAGCACCAGCTCTACGGCCCCTTTCTTATAGTCGTCCCTTTGTCCACCCTCACCTCATGGCAGAGGGAGTTTGAAGTCTGGGCACCAGAGATCAACGTAGTGGTTTACATAGGTGACCTGATGAGCAGAAATACGGTGTGTAAGCAGAAGCTGGGACTGAATCTATCTTGTAAATGTGTTTTAGAAATTGACCAAAAGCTATTATAGTCCTTAGTAAACTTGTTATTATGACACTTTTCTGTGTCTCAGATATTAGAAGATATGGTTTCAGATTCTGCATAAAAATGCGACTCACCTATTCTTTTAGAGCATATGCTTGTTACTTAAGGAAAAACAAACAACACTACTTGAGGGGAAATCTCCCTTAACTTAAATGCAAAATTAAGTTTCTCTCTGTCTTATAAATTCATGATTGCTTTATTGAGACATGATTATGAAATGGAGTCAATATCTTGGGAAACACTAATGCAATTTTTGCTATTTGAGGAGAGAGATATTATTGAAAAGAATCAAGTTCTGAGAATTTGTTTCCTAATTTCTTTTTTTCTTTTCAATGTCCTAATTTCTTAAAGCAAAGAGGCTGCTTAACTTAAAGGAAAGGAATTAAAGTAAAGCGAAACTAGTTATTTCAGGGTGGCAGAAATGAGAATAATTTGTTCCTCTTCAGACTTGAGCATCATAACCTTTAGGACATAAGGCTTCAGTTTATTAACAGCTCTTTTTTTTTAAGTTAGGCTCTGTGCTGGGGTATGTGCATTACCTGGAGGCCTCATCATAGTAGATAGTGTTCTTTTCAGCTAACTGATAGAGAAAAAATGGGCTCAGCCTGACACTTGCCCCCAGGCCAGCTAGAATGTGACAGACATGAGCGTGGAACACTGATATTTTAGGCCCAAAAGCTTTGTTCTTTCCCATTCTGTGTTAAAAGTAATACTTCCAGGGAGATTGAACATAGTAATATGAGCAAGCCATCTGGAATGCTTTAACATTTGAGCTGTATGTAGAGAACACATATTTTTATGATAATGCAAAGTTAAATCTTGGATCATGATTTGAATTTAATCCTAGCCAATTGCACTGCCTGATTTTTGACCTTCTAGGTGTGTAATAGTGCTAGATTTGTGAATTCATCTTGCTGTTTTGTGTTTTTTTTTTTTTAAAAAGAAATGGCATGAAGCATCCCTTCCAAAAGCTACAACAAAGAAAGCGAACTCTGTGAATGTGTGGAGTTAGGGATATTTTCTTTGTGGTCTCCAGCACTCTTTTTCTTGTTTTTCTTCTCACTGGCTGACCTTGAACTGCAGACATTCACTGTCTTATTCTTTAGTTCCTAACTTTACAACCAAACTGTAAATAGCTTTATCCTGAGCCATTGTGATACTGAATGCATGGCTGTTCTACTGTGTAACTCTTCACTGTTGTGTGCCTTTATATTCATTTTATTCCCATTTGTATTAAGTTACATCATCCTACAAACTTGCCTTTCCTTTTTCAAGGGAGACGGGAAAGACATATCTCCCTACTCTAAGGTTAATGGAGCTTCTTACCAAGCCCCAAGTTGTGATTTACTTGTTAATATTTTACTACTTCAAGATTAAGCAAATTCCTTTCCTTGATAAAATGTTTTTTTTTTTTCTGGGAGAGAAAAAAAATTTAGTGGGGTTAGTCCAGGTCACTAGAGTTTAATTGTTGAAGAAATGAGTTTTGTTGGTGAAATATGTCTTGTTAACAAAATTATTTGACTTCCAAATAAGGTGATTGGGCTCAGTGATCTGTCATCCCTAAGAGAATCTTTTTATTTTCTTAATGCATTCTTTGGCTACTTAGAACAATTCACAATGTATAGTATATTCATTAAAATTTCACAAGAGTTTTTTTATTTAGCATTTTAGTATAGCATCTATCCAGAGACTTGCTAGTGATAAAGCTTAAAGTACAAATTATGTCTTAATTACTGTTCTTTTCCTTATAGATACGAGAATATGAATGGATTCATTCACAAACCAAAAGGCTGAGGTTCAACGCCCTTATAACAACCTATGAAATCCTCTTAAAAGATAAGGTGTGTAAATGGTGGCTATAAGGCTAACTGCAGCGCAGTGTGATTGGTTCAAATGATAGGCTCTGTGCCATGCTATTTTTCTTTTCTTTATTAAAGACACAAATGAAAAAAACAAATCTCGTAAGACTATTGAAGTGACAAAGAAAATAGAATCTTGAATTGGAAGACCTTGAGTTACTTAGTCCAATTGATAGATTGGGGGCTATTGAGGCTAACAGCTTAGCTGACATTTTAACCTTTCTCTGGAAGCTAGGGCTTAAACACCATCATGGGTATTTCCCATCATATAATCATTAATGTTCATAACAGATGATGGGCATGATCTCTGTGAGGAAGAAAGAAAAACAAAACTATTCAAGTTTCTCCTTTCTGCAGTTACTAAGACATATATTTGGTTGACAATAAGACATATATTTAGTCCTCATTGGTGATAGTAAGTGCAAAAAAGTTTAATTTGTCGGCTCTTGACGTCTCTGTGCTTCAGGGTCAGGGTAAAGATTAGGTAAGAGAAGGATCCTGACGGGAGAGTACAAGTCATGTCCTTTTTTCTCCTTTGTTTATTTTTGCCCAGCCTATCAGTTTTTTGTTCATGTTCTGGGGCATGCAGTGGTACCTGGTGAGACACCCCTGTCTGTACCTGTCAGGTGGTGGTATGCTCTTTTGAGAAGACAACTCTAGCAGGATAAACTAGCAGAATAAACAGAGTTCTAATGTGCTTTAAGTCACTGAAGAATAAATGTGTCTGTATATGCCTTTGTGGTGGTATTTATACAGAGATAATTAACATTTACAAACTCTGCTGGCTTCCCTTCTGACTGGTGGCTTGTTTTTTTGTTTGTTTTTACTTTAGACTGTGCTGGGCAGTATTAACTGGGCCTTTCTGGGAGTGGATGAAGCCCATCGGTTGAAGAATGATGACTCTTTATTGTATAAAACTCTGATTGATTTCAAGTCCAACCATAGGCTCCTGATTACGGGGACCCCTCTTCAGAATTCCCTCAAAGAGCTCTGGTCCTTGCTGCACTTTATTATGCCAGAGAAGTAAGCTCCTTCCTGTGTCTTTCAAAAGATACTAGAATGTCTCAAATGTCAATGCTTTTTCATTTTCTTGCTAGGCCTCAGGGAAGACAGATGGGCTGGGAGGTGGGAACGAAAGGAGTAAACAAATCCTAGAGGGTGCTTGAGTCCACTTATGAAGGAGGAAAGCATACCATCGGCCAAAAGTGTGAGTCAGTTAATGCATTTGAAAGGAAACATCAGATGTTCCCAGTTATTCTAATGTAATCAATAGAATTCAAATGAAGGTACATAGTCACACAAACATTAAAAAGAATATGAATCAGTGATTAGGAATATTCTATAAAAATATTTTTCAGAAGATTTTGTATGGTAGAGATGAAATGCAGATTTTTTAAACTTGTAATTCTTTTTTGGTGCACTGTGATAGTTAAAGAAACCCAGCTTCAGTTTGTTTCTCTGCTATGGAAGACAATTACTTGTTTAACCCTTGAAGAGGCTTTGATTGGTCTCATCCCCCTGTCCATCACTTACGCCTTAGCTGGCCTGGCTGTCTTACGGTCCCTTGACACGCCAAGCCACCACTTCTCTTGGTGTCAGGAACACTCTTTCTCCTTAGCCTCACATTGTAGTTAAACAATTGCTCTGAACCCTGCCCTATCCTGAGCCAGTTTCACAGTCTTTGACATACCTGCTCCCATTTCCCCAGTCACTATGTCAGTCCATCTCCTCCAGGGTCTTCCTCTCCTGTACCGAACCTTTTATCTTTCCAAGCATTATGTCCTTCTCCAAGGACTGGTCCCTTCTGGCTAAGTGCCCAAAGTATGTGAGACAGAGCTTCCTTGTATCCAAGGAGAAATTTGGTTTCACTCTCTCTAAGACAGTCTCTTGGTGTCCATGGTATGTTCAGTACTCTTTCTCTAGCACTATAACTCAAAGGCATCCATTTTTCTTCTGTTATTGCAATCACCGTTCAGCATACTTGGCACATGGCCAGCTAGTGTTTTGTATCTTAACATTACTTCTATAACTACCTCTTCTGCGAGGCTTTCTCAGACCACTTATTTAAAATAGCCTCTTAAATATGCTTCTTTTCCTGTTAATAGCAATTAAAAAAATTTATTTCTTGTCTTCTGTCATTAAACTATACATATATATATACATCCATTGCCTACACTTGTGCTTGAGACACTTTCTCCACTCCTCCTTCCCATTGGGTGCATTCAGACTTCTAGCAACTCCATTGGGTTTTTGTGACTGGACGATTAGAATTGCCCGAGATGCACGGCCTGTAGGTTCAGCCATGCACTCACTACCTTCTGTGCCACCAGAACTGCTGGGCACACAGTATAGACACTTTACAACACTTGTTGAGTTGATGAGTAAATGCTCCATACTTCAGAATGCATATGACTGGCTATGTTGTGCCATATACTGGGTAGTCTAATGAGAAACAAAACTGATTCCTGCTCCTGGAGATTGTTAACCATTTTCTGAAACTGAAATGTGTTGATTTCCACTAATTTTAAATTTTACCTTAAAAAATTGAGATATAAGGAAATACACTGAAATACACTGCTGTAAGTGTCTCATTCTTTCCAGTAATGTAATTTCTAGAGCCGTGTCGCTGTTTCCATGTTCTAGTTTCAGAATATTTCACTCACCTCAAACAGTTCCCTCTGAACTTGATGGCCATAATCGCTGCTTTTGCCTCTAGCTACAGGTGACCAGAGGGGACCGTTTCCCAGCTGTTGTTTAGAGATTTACCTCTTATAGAAGTGCCTTCAGATGGCATGCTGCTCTGCAGTATTTATGTGTGTGACGTTTAAACTTACATGTTGTGATGCTCATGAAGTCAGTGTGTGTCATTCTCATTGACTGTGGATTGAGATTCCATTGAATGAATGTGCATTATGTAGATGATGGGCATTGGAGCTGGTCGGAATTATGTTTCTTTGTATATGTGTGTGAATGTATATTTTCACTTTCCTTCAGTAGATATTTGACAAATAATTTGGAAAGCTTCTAGTTTATTTTTAAAAACTACCAAGGTGGTGGTGTAGAAAATCAGGCTGTTTCTCCCCACTCAGAGCAGTTGTTAGCCATTTGTGTGTGGGCTTTTTTTGCATTTCTTTTAATTTTTTTACTGCATATTCTTTCCATTTTTTCCCTTGTTTATTCATTGTTGCACATTTTCCTTCCTGCCGACCCCTCCCCCCTCAGTTCACTTTTCTCTTTGAAAAGAAATTATTTCATTGTTATACAGTCCCCTACCCCCTCAGGTCCACAGTCCACTTTACTATGCATTCCTTTTTCTGGAATCTTGTCTTGAAAATAATACATAGTGATATATTCCTTTTAAACAGTTCTCTCTCCCTCATCTGTTTCAATGCAGTATACCTTATTTATCCCCTCCTTTCTTAGTTTTCCCCCAACCCCGATGTCAGTCCTGTTTTAAAACAGTGGCACTATGCAGTATTTGTCCTTTTGTGACCGAGATATTTCACTCAGCATAATGTCTTCCAGGGTCACCCATTTTGTATAATATTTCATGAGTTTCTTGTTTTTCAGTGCAGCTTAGTATACCATTGTGTGAATACACCAGAGCTTCTCTGTCCATTTGTTTGTTGATGGGCACTTGAGCTGTTTACAACTCTTTGCTATTGTGAACAAAGCAGCAGTAAATATGGGTGTGCATATATCTCCTTGGGTGGCAGATCTGTTTCTTTAGGGTAAATTCCTAGTAGTGGAATTGCTGGGTCAAATGGTATTTCTATTTCCAACTTTTTGAGAAAGCGCCATACCGCTTTTCATAGTGGTTGTACCATTTTACACTCCCACCAACAATGAATAAGGGTTCCATTTTCTCCACAACTTCGCTAGCATTTGTTGTTTGCTACTCTGTTGAATTTTGCTATTTTTAATGGGATGAAATACCATCTCATAGTTATTTTGATTTGCATCTCTCTTAGAGCTAGGGATATTGACCACTTCTTCATGTGTTTCCTGCTGTGCTGGTCTTGATTTTACAAACTCCCTTAGGTTCTGTTTTTCTTGGAATATCTTGATCTCTCCTTCATATTTCATGGACAATTTTGCTGAGTACAGTATTCTTGTTTGACAGTTGTATTCTTTGAGTGTTTGCTATATGTCATTCCACTGTGTTCTTGCTCACATGCTTTCTGCTGAGAAATCAGCATTTAATTTTATCTGTTTTACCTTATAGGTCACTCTTTGTTTCTCCCTTGCTGCTTTCAGGATTCTCTCCTTATCTTAGGTTCTGGCAAAATTGGCTATGATATGCCTTGGTGTTTTTCTTTTGGGGTCTACTCTATATGGTGTTTTTTCAGTTTCTTGAATATATGTTCTCTCATTCTTCATTATGCCTGGGAACTTTTCCACTAGTAATTCTTCCACAACTTTTTTGGTGTCTTTATTTGCTTCTTCCTGTTCTGGAATTCCAATGGTGCACATGTTATTTCTCTTGATGGTGTCCCATTTTATTCTTAGGTTTTCTTCTTTTTCCTTCCTTTTTGATTCTGCTTTTGTTCTAGTGGATCAGTGGTGACAATTTTGTCTTCTATTTAACGGGTTCAGCGTTCCATCTCTTCAAATTATGTTGACAGTATCTGAGACACTGGACCTCATACTTTGGATTGTGATTTCTTTTTTTTTTCAGAGCCTCTAACCCCTTCTTTGTTTTATCTGCATTGTTTTGGATTGTTTTTTGGGTTTTTTTAAAGCTCTTCCTGTTTTTTGCTTTCATTGTCATGTAATTCTTCAAGTTTGTCTTTTACTCATTAAATATTCAATCATTGTTTTTTTGAATTTGGTGTCAGAAAGTTCCATTAGACTTTCTGATTTCAGGAAATCCATTGATACTGTGTCACTTTCTGGGGTGACATCTTGCTTTGGGCTTGTTTGATGTAGCCTGCTTTCTTTTGTGACATTGCTGTGGTAGAGTTTTCCATGCCTGAGGCAATGAATGGTTGGTTCTTGATTTGAAGCAAATGCTCCAGAAGAGGGTAGGGCCGGAAAGTTTCAGTTTAGGACCTGTGAAAGCACCCTCTTCTGTTTATAACTGTTGCAGACCAAGGCTTTCTGGACTAAAGGCAGTTAGCTGTTCAAGTTCCAGCTGTCAGGCCTGCTTTCAGTGGCCCACCACTTTCGCTATCATCTGTCCTCACTCTGGTCCATCCTCATCTGGTCTGTCCTTGCGCCAGTCCATCCTCCCATTTGTGTGTTTTTGTGCAGTGTCTGTTTCATCTTTTTATCATTGTAGAATTGGATTTAGTTTAATGAATATTGTATTGAAAAGAGTTTAAAAGATGTTCTAGGGTTAAGTTCTTTATGATTTTTAAGTTTTTCATCCTTTTCTGTGACTTGTTTTCATTTTCTTCATCTTTTCCATTTAAGAATGAAACTTTTGATATTGAAGGAGTATTCTTTCTACTTTAGATGTATCTATAACATTATTGTCTTAATTTGAGGTTACAGAGATCATCTCTTTTATTTTCTGTTAGAAATTTTGTGGGTTTAGGTCTTAGATTTAAGTCTGTGGTGATTTTGAATTAATTTTTGTTTATCATGTGAGGTGAGAGCCTAGGTCTGTTTTTCAACAGGGTGTTCTGGAACTTAAACTCACACCAATTGCTGAAGACTATCCTTTCTCCATTGGACTGTCTTGTCACCTTTAGTAAAAATCAGTGCAACAATAAATGTGAAGTTCTCTTTCTTGACAAGTTGTTTTACTTCACTGTGTTAACTATGATGATACTACAGTCTTTTTTTTAAATTTTTTAATTTTATTTCATTATTTTTTGTGTATACCGTCAAATCAGATCTGACTGATACAGGAGGAGATTGTTCCTCTTTCTCCTGCAGAGCATCTGGTGGATTTGAACCGTGTACCTCCGAGAAGCTGCAGTGCAGCTTCTTGCCACTAGGCCACCAGAGCTCACCGATACTACAGTCTTGATTAGTATACCTTTATACTATGTTTTGGTCATTCTAGATCTTTTTTCATGTTAATTTTAGGATTAGTTTGTTAATTTCTACCAAAAAACTTGCCGGAATTCTGATAAGCATTTAGTACGAGTTGCCATTTTGAGGTTGGTGAGATTTTTAATCCATGATCAATGCCATCTTCATAATCTCTGATATAGTTAAGCCCATTGTTGTAGCTGCATCAGTCCGTCTTGTTGGGGGTCTTTGTCTCTTTCTCTGAACTTTGCCATTCCTGGGATGATGTCCTTTTCCAGGGACTGGCCCCTCTCTTTACAATATGTCAAGAGTACATGAGAAGAAGTGTTCACTATCCTTGCCTTTAAGCAACATCCTGCTTGTCCTCATCCAGGACAGACTTGTTTGTTCTTTTAGCAGTCTATAGGGTATTCCGTCTTCTTCTCCAATACTGCAATTCAAAGGCATAGGTTCTTCTTCTCTTGCATGTATAGGAAGAAACTTTTCCTTAGGTCAGTAAATTCTTTAGGGAGTGATAAGTTTGAGTTAGATATAAAGTGGAAAAAAATGTATTTTTAAAAATATTGTTCTTAGGGAGCTCTAGTGGCCTAGTGATAAGAAGCTCCACTGCAATCCCAGAGGCGTGTGGATCAAATCCACCAGATGCTCTGCTGAAGAAGGAGGGACATTTTCCTCTTGTACCAGTCAAATCTGATTTGACAGTACACACACAAAAAACAGTAAAATTTTTTAAAAAATTAAAAAGAAACCAACCTCCCCCAAACACACCATTCTTCTTTTTAGTTTTGAAACAGACTCTGAGTGGACTGCATTTTCCACATCCAACCTTTTCATTAGTAGCTGAACCATGAACACCACCAAGTGAGGATTCCTAGATTAGTGTGTTGTTGTTAGGTGCCGTAGAGTTGTAGATGACTCATAGTGACCCTGTGAATGAAAGGCCTGAGCACTGTTCATAGAGTTTCTGGAGGCAAGTCATTTCGGAAGTGGATGCCACTCCTGCTTCCAAGCTTGTTTTAGTCGGGGAGCTCCACCAGACACTGTCCACCATAGGTAACCATTATCACATTTGGCACATCAGTGTCACAGTGGTTAGCATCACAGCAACCACGAATTACTGCTGTACTGCAATGAACAGACAGACCAGTGCTATACCACCTAAATGAATGTTTGACAGAAAAATAATTAGATTATTGTCGTTTTAATGAATTTTTACATATATTAAGTAATAAAAACAGTCTCTTGAAATTATCTCCAGGTGTTGAGAAAAGGCACTCAACCCTATAGTTAGTCTTATTGACTTCTACTTCACATGTTTTGAATGTGAGGTTCAGCATTAATAAGGCTCAGTTTACATGGTTCTTTTTAATGCTCTTATAGTTTTAATTCCTCATTTATTTTATTTTTTGCTTTTAAAGTGTTTGTGCATTAGCCTAACCATACAGCAAAATACAGTTTACCTCATATATCAGGCTGTAATTGATAATTAATTATCTCTACTCCCCCAACAGCTTTTTGTCTGTCAAGGGCAGTGCTGGTCTTCCTGCTGGTACATAATGAAATGCTTAGCACATGACAGCTGGTTCTGTGGATATTGTATCTGTCAACACAATGCTCTATGACATTCTGTTTTGCCAGGGAGCACATGCATATCTGACTGCAAACTCATTGCTGTCAAGCCAGTTCTGATTTTGGAGGCTGAATCTTAGCAGGAAGGTGGGACTGCCCATAGAGTTTCTGGTGAATTTGAGCTGTCAAAAATAAATGGCCTTTTAGTTAGTGTAATGCACTCCATAGACTACACTTACACCACTGAGCTCCTTTATGCTGAATGTTGTTGTTAGTGACTGTTTAATTGAGCCATAGCTGACCCACCAGCAGATTTTCAGAAGCAGTAAATTACATGGGAGTTTACCCATTTTTCTCCTGTGGAGCTGCTGGTAGATTCAAACCACATACCTTTCTTTGAGTTGACAGCACAATTCCTTTCCCCTAAGCCACTGACCTCTCTAGGTAACACAGAGTCACTTGGGTTGATTAGTCTAAGATTCAATTAGACTTACAGACTAAGGCTGGACAGGAACAGCTGTACCACAGAGCAGACCAGGGCCAGTGATAAGGTTTTAATTTCTTACCTCAGTTAATATAATGCTCTCGTCAAACAAAGTATTTGCACAAAAAAATAAGTCTTCCAATTTCATTGTCCTCTTAATGGCAAAACCTGCACATTTTCTTAATCTTCATGAAATTAATTTCCTTCCTCCTTAAATTTTTTAGTAGCATGATCTAAATATTCTTTTCTGCCACAGATCTCTTAGTTCACTACAAATGGTTAAGTGAGATTATTATTGGAAAGTTTGTTCTGTTGAATTTTGGCAGATTCATTATAAAAGGCAAGTTTGGAAATAAATGAGGTTTTTATTCTCAAATTCTATGAATAGTACATTTATATCACTTTTATTAACCCTCTTGCCAGCCTGTAATCTTACTTTCTATGTTTATAAGCCCATTACATTTCAAAATGATGAACAAAGGTGATTATTGGTAGAAATTAGTCTTTTATCTCTGAATTTAGTTTTTACAAAAAATTAACACTCTTTCATGAGCAAACCTATTATGTTTATTTTTGTTCTAATTGCATGATACATTCAAATGTTTAATAAACTCCTCATCCAATCTCTGAAATGCAAACCTGCTGTTAACCAGTGTAAATTGGGCAGCATTGATTCAGATGGTACCCATTCTCTTACTCAAGAAGTAGAAGCTGCTTCATTTATTCTACGACCCTTATAGGAAAGATGAACTTTCATAGCCTCCCATTATCCCCAATTAAATATGTTTTTAAAACATGTTTTTATTGGAAAAGTGCTCTTCTCCTCTGTGTGGCTCAGTGGTCATGTTTTATCCTTAGGTTTGAGTTCTGGGAAGATTTTGAGGAAGACCATGGCAAAGGGAGAGAGAATGGCTACCAGAGTCTTCACAAGGTGCTAGAGCCTTTCCTTCTCCGGAGAGTCAAGAAGGATGTAGAGAAATCCCTGCCAGCCAAAGTGGAGCAGATCCTCAGGGTGGAAATGTCGGCGCTACAGAAACAGTATTACAAGTAAGGACACTGCGTGTGCTGGCCAGGCCCGAGTGAACTTGCAGTCAGGACCGTTTGATAGATACTTGAAGCCTCAACTTAAAATTAAAGAATAATTTATTCAGGATTAGAAAGAGAGGACTCTCTTGCTTTTTTTCTGTGAGTAAGTGAGAAGATGGTTGGTAGCATTTTCACCTGTCTGAAATATATGTTAACTCTTAGGGCTCATCCTGCTACCTACAGATAGGCCTATTTCATTTATGTATAAATTTATTCTTTCCCATTCCTTTGATCATTTGTTAAGCTTTTCAGCATATCAGATGTTCTGTTAGATAAACGTTATACTCATCTTTGTATTCCCAGGGAGTCTCAGCCCTGCTAAAAGCCTTGTTGTGGAGTGGGGAAGATAAGCTATAGACAAAGAATTAAGAGTATACTATTTAATAACTGAGGCATTAAAAAAGTGGGAGCTGTAGAAGGACTCAAGTGTATGCTGATGAGTGAATATCCATCCCTTCCTAGCACTCTGTATTTAGTGTTTTCTGTTAAAATATAAGGAGGAAGGGAAAAAGGGAAGTAGGCAGAAAAAGGGGAAGGGTGGCAATCACTAGGCTAACAAATGTTGTGGGTGGGTTGGGAGGATGTAAAGGGAAGAGGAAAGAGTAATTGGAGACTTGAAAAGATAGTGTAATTATAGGCATAGATCAATGGTAATTGATTATATGTGATACACTATATATGAATGATTGTATGAAACACAATGTGAACGAGGGATCATGTAGAAAACAATATATATGAATGAAAAAATGTAAATAAATTATTGTATGAAAACCAATTAGAAAAAATTTAGTAGGGCCTTTATTTAAAAGACTGGAGTAATCGGCATAGATCAGTACTAATTTGTAAAATACAGTGTATATGAATGATTGTATGAAACACAATATAAATCAAAGATTGCATTTAAAAGAATTTAAAAATATTGAAATAGCGAATTTGAGACAGGATGATTTAGAACATGCTTATCATGAATTTTAGTTTTACTGATTTAAAGTTAGATGTAGAATAAGTGGAACAAATTATATCTTCATGAAGATCATAGTCCTTTAAGATAGGGGTTCTACTAATCTTTCTACTACTGTTCCCTTGCTTGTTATTAATAAAACATATATATATTTTTTCCTTTTTTTTCTATAATTATATTTTATTAATTTTCATAAACATTTACAGAGATTTTGGGCTTCCACTCATTCATTGTTGCACTATTCTCTCTACCCTCCTCCCAGTTTGTTCTTGTCCAAATGCCACAGTGCTTGTCAAAGCCAGTTCTGATCAATCTTCTTTGTCAGTGTATCCTTTGCCATTCCCTATCACTCCTCCCTGAGAGAGACTTCACCCTGAGTCATAAGGAAAAGGGCACGGCGTATTCTCTTAGCTACTTCCTGCTGAAAAGGGACGCTGTGGGTTTCAGGGTGAAGATCTTCTCTCACTACTCTAAAGGGCCCCTTTGGCAGTAGGAAACACATAGACTATTATGGAGATTGATTTTGGAATTCAGATGCACTCTTATTGATTGTGCTTGGCCATACATGTTCATATCCTTGAAGATGTATCATGGGGGTGTTGCAACCTAGAAGGCACAAATTTGACTAACAAGTTATAAGTACATGAGTCCAAAAATTATGGAAAAGTAAAAGAAAAGATTCTTTCATTGTTTTACAAACCCTCCCCCAGGTCCCCTCCACCATGCAGCCCTCGCTCTAGTCTCCTGTGATGACAGAAATACCCAGTTACATGTCTCTTTTAAACGGTTCTCTCCCTCCTCTGTTTCAGTGCAGTACACATTATTGAACCCATCTTACTCAGTCTCTCCCCAGCCTCAAGGACAGTCCCATTCTACAACAGTGGCATCATGTAATATTTGTCCTTTTGTGACTGGGATATTTCACTCAGCATAATGTTCTCCAGAGTCAACCATTTTGAATAATATTGCATGAGTTCCTTGTTTTTTAATGCAGCATAGTATTCCATTGTGCGAATATACCACAGCTTCTCTAGCCATTCGTTTGTTGATGGGCACTTAGGTTGTTTCCAACTCCTTGCTATTGTGAACAAAGCTGCAATAAACATGGGTGTGCATATATCTGCTTGGATGTCAGCTATGGTCTCTTCAGGGTATATTCCCAGTAGTGGAATTGCTGGGTCAAATGGTATCTCTATTTGCAACTTTTTGAGAAAGCGCCATACTGCTTTCCACAGGGGTTGCACCATTTTACACTCCCACCAACAGTGAATCAGGGTTCCAGTTTCTCCACAACCTCGCCAGCATTTGTTGCTTGCTGTTCTGTTAAATTTTGCTATTTTGACTGGGGTGAAATGATATCTCATAGTTGTTTTAATTTGCATCTCTCTTAGGGCTAGGGATTTTGAGCATTTCTTCATGTGTTTGTTAGCCATCTGAATGTCGTCTTTGGTGAAGTGCCTGTTCATATCCTGTGCCCATTTTTCTATTGGATTATTTACCTTTATCTTGTTGTGGTGCTCAAGTATTTCATAAATTCTGGATATAAGTCCCTTATCTGATATGTTATTACCGAATACTTTTTCCCAGTCAGTGGCTTCCCTTTTTACCCTACTGGAGAAGTTTTTGGATGTGCATAGGGATTTGAGTCTTAGAAGGTCCCATTCATCTATGTTATCTTCTCCTGGTTGTAGCTAAAACATATATATTATTGCTGTATTTATTTAGCCAATCTACTCAACTGTTAGCTTATTTCCAATTTTATTTTGCAATAAAGAGTACTTCAATGTGGGTATATATCTATATCCATATAGTTCTATCTCTCTCTATTTGTCCATCTGTCTGTCCATCCATTATCTATCTATCTATCTATCTATCCATCCATCCATCCATCCATCCATCCATCCATCCTTCCTTCCTTCCTTACTGTACTGTTACTTTTTTTCTTGTAATTATTCTGAGGGCCATGCTGTTGAAACAGTCAGTAATGGAAATATTTATATGTGCTGAATGTGACTAGAGACAAGAAGGATCCTGGCTAGGTTACAGAAGCTGCAAAATAAAATAGCCCTTCTTCCTCTTAAGTTTTATATTTGGTTTTCTAATAACTCTGCTGTTTCTTAGAATCTTGTAGTACCACCCTCAATTCCCTTCTTCTCTGAGTACATTGATATCAGTGTTGTGTTCATTGGCAGGTGGATTCTGACAAGGAATTACAAGGCTCTTGCCAAAGGAACCCGAGGCAGCACGTCGGGCTTCCTCAACATCGTGATGGAGCTGAAGAAGTGCTGCAACCACTGCTATCTGATCAAGCCGCCTGAGGAAAACGAGAGGGAAAATGGGCAGGAGGTTCTGCTGGTGTGTCCTCATTCTTAACTACCTTTAAAAAAATAGTTGCTAGGAAATGGCTTTGATGAAGATGTTCCTTTTCCTTCTTGATGTGATTCTTCAAGGAATATTTTTTAAAAAGAAGGAGTTACTCAGTTTGGTGGGAGGATAGAGGGGATAAAGGAAATGGGAAAGATCCGATGGGAATCTGGAAAGACGGGGTAATAGGCATAGTTCAGTGATGTTTAGTTTTATAAAGCGTAATGAATGGGTGTGACTGTATGAAACACAATGTAAATGAAGGACAATGTGAAACACAATGTATATAAACTTTTATGCAAACCAGTATTAAAAAAAAGGCACTTGGAGGTAAAAAAACCCAAACAAAAACACAATAACAAAACACTCTCCAGGTAAACAAAATAAAGAAAAGAAGAAGCTGTAAAGAAGCAGTTAGAAAGACTTGAGTAACCTGAAAAGTTCAGAGGGGTCAGTATCACAGGGACCTGTAAAATGAGCATTTCACAGAGCTGTGGGTAAGGGGGCCTATGTGGGCTTCATCAAGCCCTAGTGTGAATTTGGCATAGCGGCTCTTTGAGATGAAGGGCAGGCTAAAGTGTGGGTTTGAGCATATTGACTGAGAATGGCTTCCTTTTTAGTCCCTGATCAGGAGCAGTGGGAAGCTGATTCTCTTAGATAAACTGCTGACAAGACTTCGAGAAAGGGGCAACAGAGTCCTTATTTTCTCCCAGATGGTACGAATGTTGGACATCTTGGCTGAGTACCTAACCATTAAGCACTATCCTTTCCAGGTAAGAATGTTCAGTCATTTCTCAGGGTTGTATGCTTTCTTTGTATGAAACAAGAGTTTGCTTTTTTGACAAAAAATTGAGCCTAGGTTTCTACTCCCTTGTATTTTTCCTCCCAAGCCCACTGCTGTCAGATTGATTCTTTCTCATAGTGGCCAAATAGGACATAGTTGGGTCCTCAGAGGGTTTCCAAGGCAGGGACTCTGCAGGGTGGCAGAATTTTTTTTTTCAGTGAGGAAAAAAGAAAATTGAACGTGAGAATAGCTCGTCAGTAACGTTAGACAGATGTTGTACATCTTTAAGTCTGTGGTAAAAGTGGAAGGATGAAGTACGAACCTGATTTTAGAATCTCAAATCCTAGAAGGAAAGAAGGTCAGAGGTGCCAGTGTTGTGTATTCACCATCCTGGACACTGACCTTGACTGTGGGCTTGGGAAAAAGTAGGACAGGGCTACTAACGCCTGGCCTTTGAGCCGGGAGAGTGTCTCTCCTTCTCCCGCAGGACTTTCATAATCATTCAGTTATTTTTATGGGCTAAAAATAAAAGGATATCTTCAGCATAGAGATTTTTAAAAAAATTTTGGTATGTTAGAATCTGACATATTTACAAGTATGTGTGTAATTTATTTACCTTGAGTCATGCAGTAAAGTTGTGATCATCTCCTATAATTTATAAGTATTAAAACTTGAAGGCCTTTATTATCATCTGGAAAGGCCAAGCTTTAAAACTCATTAATAGTGTCCTTCAGAATGTGATGAAAGGCATTACTCTAACCACAGTACATAAGATGGTCAGTCAGAAGCTTGGTTCTTGTGAAAACCTGTGGTTATTATAAAAAAAGTATTGTTGTTATTAAATGCCATCAAGTTGAGTACAACTCATTGAGACCCTATGAACAACAGATCTGAAGTCTGTCCTTTCCTGTGTGAACCTCTGACACATTTGAGCCCGTCATTAAACCAATTATTTGTCAGTGCACCTGGTCCTTGTGAATATTCAATTCTGGCTCATCGTTCATACGAGAATAACAAGAATGTACCACTCTCTCAGCTGTAACGAGTCATACACAGGCACCTCCTTCTCACTGTCGAGTCTTCTCAGAGCTTTTAAATTGGACACATGCTTAAATGAGAGTCTGACAGTATGTGTTTGAAATCTGGAAATGGCTTTCTTTTAATAATCACATTACCAGCACATATTATGTCACTGATTAGACATATCTAAGAAGAAAGGAGGTTCCTGTGTCTGATAGGACGAGTCTTCAGGAAGCCATGGACCTGATGGCCAGAGCTCTGGGGTGAGGAGACATAGATCCTTCCAGACTCTGTCACTAGCCTGTTATTGATCTTTGGCCAGTCTTGTCTCAAGTTAGTTTTGTCTTCTGCACACTGAGATATGTTGTTGTTGCTTGTTGTCATGTGCCGTTGAGTCGCTTGTGACTCATAGCAACCCTATGTATAACAGCTCCAAACTCTGCTCTGTCCTGTGCCAGTCTCATTGTCTCCGACACACTCATCCCGATTGCGCCAGTCACCGAATCAATCCACCTCCCAGAGGGCTTTCCCCTCCTGCGCCTGCCTTCCACCCTCCCAAGCATGATGTCCTTCTCCAAGGACCGGTCCCTCCTTAAAACATGACCAGAGTATGTCAGACAAAGTCTCAGAATCCTTGCCTCCATGGAGCATTCCGATTTAACCCTCTCCAGGATGAATCTGTCCATGGTACCCTTAGCACTCTTCTCCAGCACCACAGCTCAAAAGCATAATTTCTCCTTCTATCCTCCTTAGTCATTGTCCAGCTCTCTAATGCATAACAAGTGATTGCAAAGACCATGGCCTGTACCAGACACACCTTAGTCTCCAGAGACACACCGTTGCTCTTGAGTACTTTAGAGAGGTCCCTAATAGCAGACTTTCCCATCGCAATAAGTCTTTTAATTTCTTACCATCGCAATAAGTCTTTTAATTTCCTGGCTGCTGGTGCCAAGAGTGTTGATTGTGGAGCCAAGCAGACTAAAGCTGTGAACAATCTCAATCTCTAATGAGATATATTACTCAGTAGTTTTAGGTGCAGTAAATGTGCAAGTTAGAAAGAGTTAGAAAGCTTTTATATGTACAACTTGTGGGCAATAAGTCTTCAGAATTTGCTTTACCTATTATGTATTTTAACTTTAGTGACATTGCTTTTGGTATCTGTAGGTGACATCTAAGGATCTCTGGTTGTTTAGTGGTAAGGAGTTTCTCTGCCAACCCAAAGGCAGGCAGTTTGAATCTACCAGCTTTCTGAGGGAGAAGGGTGGGCAGTCTCCTCTTACGTCGTTTACAGCCTCTGAAACCCATTGGGGGTTCTGCTGTGAGTCACTTCTGACTCAATGGCAATGACTTTGGCTTTGAATTGACATATGCTGTAGTAAAAGAATTGTGAGTTAATTATTGAGCTGCTAATGTGGTATCAAGATTGGAGAAAGAATCACCAACAACCTGCATTAGCTGATGACACAGCTTTGCTTACTGAATGTGAGGAGTACTTGAAGCACTTGTTGCAAAAGACCAAAGCATACAGCCTTCAATATGGATTGCTTCTCAACATCAAGAAAACAAAAATCCTGCCTAATGGACCAAGAGGCAGCATCATGAGAGATGGAGAAGAGATTGAAGTTGTTAAAGATCTCTGGACATCCACAGTCAACACCTATGGTAACAGCTGTCATGAAATAAAAGGCATGTTGAACTGGGAAAATCTTCAAGTGCCTTCCTCTCCAAAGTGCTAAAGATAAAAAATGTAAGGGATGAGGATGTGCAGGGGGAGGGAGGGATTAATCATGGAGTTGTATAATTTGATGGGGAGGGGTGAGGGAAATTGGAAGAATCTCTTCTCAAAAATAATGTATTCGAATTTTGTAAATAAACTAGTATAAATTGACATAAAAATTTTTATTACTTAAAAGTTTAAAGATAGCATGCACCTGACCTAAACCATGGTGTTTTCAGTCACTTGCTATGTATCTGTCTGAAAGTTGGCCAGTGAATAAGGATGAGAAGAATGCATGCCTTTGAATTGTGGTTTTGGAGAAGAGTACTGAATATCCCATTGGCTTCTGAAAGAACAAAGTAATCTGTCTTGGTGAAAGTACAACCAGTGTAAGGCTCTGGCCTTAGAGGCAAGGAGGGTGACCCAAGGGTGACAGGTTGTTTCTGGAGCACTTCTGGACTAAGACTAAGAAGCAGGTCTGCCTATCCACTACTGAAATAACAGGACTTAAAAACCCTATGAAGAAAAAACTCTATGGTGCTAATGAACGAGTCTGTCATGTTGGAAAGCACTCAAAAAATGAGGAGAAACAGCTACAAACAGCCACTAATAATTAGAACATGGAGTGCACAAAGTATTAATCTAGGAAAATGGAAATTTGTCAGAAATGGAATTGGATAAAACTCGACATCATGTACGCTAGGCAGATTTTCAGGAAGGGCTAGTCTTTGGAAAGACATACTCTACTGTCCAGGTGGAGAGTCAGGGGAAGAGATGGTACTGAACGAGGTGGCCTGGCAGAGACTAACAGTGGCTCGAGCGTGTCGAAGATGATGAGAATGGCACAGGTAGTTCAGGTCGTTGTTCATGGGTTGTGATGGGTCGATGGCACCTAACCACAACACGGTTGGCATTTTTAATCCATCAGCCACTCCTTGAAATAAAGATGTGGTAGTTTATTATTACTACGATTTACAGCCTCTGAAACCTGATGGAGCAGTTCTACTTTGACCTACATAGTCACTGTGAGCCAGAATCTACCAGATGACAATAAGTGACGAAATGCCAGACACTCAGTTGAAGACAGGGCCTGGCTGTTAGATAGAATTCCCCAGTATACTTTGCTCTGTTTTCACAGTTTAATCCTAGGGAAAGCTGAGAAATATGATCAACTTCATTTTGACATATTTTCCAAACAAAATTATATTTTGTGTGTGTGTGTGTGTGTGTGTGTGT